AACAATGTTACAGCTTTAGGTTGTACCTAAGGAAACCAGCCACCCAAAAGAAGGCTTTTTTTTCTCTGTCAGACCCTTTTGCTACTGAGACAGAATGGACCACTCTTGAACACTCTGTTTGATCTCAAATCAGCATCCTTTAAGGAGGCCTCAACTCAATAGAAGTGAATGTGCTTTTTCGTCCCAGATCCAACATCACAGTTTCATAGCTGATTCTGTAGCCAGCCTGAGTCAGGAAAGTGCAATGGCTTGCCACCCAGCCTGTTGCCACCCAGCCTGCAGCCACCATCCAACCAGCTGCTGTCCAGGCCCTGGAAACAAACTCATGTGGGCAGGGTTGCTCTTTTTTGATCCACTCATAACTGCTATGAGTGGAAGGCCCCCCAGATACGGACTCTACCTTGAGCACATCCAAACACAGACTAGCAGAACCATTTTCTAACAGGCTACAAATGCATCTGCTTCTCCTGACTGCAAAGCAGCCTCCAGTGTACTAGCTACTGTCCTTGTTTCTGTGATAAAGGTCCTCAAAAGCAGTTTAAGGAACTCAGCCTTCTCTTTGGCTCACATGGACAGACAAGGTACAGTGCCAGGAATCTGAGGCAGCTGGTCACGTGACAGCCACAGTCAGGAAGCTGAGTGTTAAACGCTAGGGCTCAACTCAGCCTTCCTACTCAGTCTAGGACCCCAGCCCATGTTCGGTGCTACCCGCATTTAGGGACAATAGTCCCTCATTTTACTCTCCATAAAAATTCCCTCACAGACACACCCAGAGGTTTGTTCGAGTGATGCTTCTAAATCCCATCAAGCTGACAATCAAGATTCACTTTCACACTTGAGGTACATCGAGTATAGCTGACAAGGCTAAATCTGGTCAGTGACAGACACTGCCCATGTTTCTTACTCAATGTAATGATGATCCAGAGCCATTAGACAACACAACCCAAACACAGAGGAAATTATAAGTTTGTCTTCCAGATGTAGGTTCAAAAGGTAGTTTTTCCTCCTGGAAGAGAATTTTCTGTGTACTTTGAGCATCCTTGCACATCCTTGTGAATGAGCCAGGGATGCAAGGCCCTTCTTGATGCTTACCCAAGAAATTCTCAGCTCTGTGTTTGAGATAAGCAGCCTTGAATGTTATGGTCAAAGTGGTGAGTTCGTATCTGAATGTTTCATGACACAGTCGGAAAATGTGACTCTTGGGTCTACAAAGAGCAGGCTTACTTGCACCTGCTAACAGGAAACAGATTTGCAAAGCTAAGTGTTGCTAAGCTGTGGTGTGAACCTGTGCATGATTGATAGTAATCTGGACCTTTCTATATGCCTCAGGAGCTTGGGAGAAAAGAGACCAGAACAGACGAGCTTATGTTGCTTGCTGTACCATGAGTAATAGGGGCCTTTATTCCTGACCCAAGAATCACATCTCCCGACTGTGTCATGAAACATTCAGATACTAACTCATCACTTTGTCCATAAACTCAAATCCCAGACCCACTGTTTTTATTGCATATTGTTTGCCCAAATGTTATATTATTTCTTATTCTAAATTTCAACACTTTAATTTTTTTTTAACTTACCCACTTTATCTATTATATTAGTGGCCACTACTAGCTCCTCCTCCTTCCCCTCCTCCCTTCCCTCCTCCTCCTCCTTTTAGTTTTTTGATGCCTTGTGCATTTGCTGCAATTACTTCCTCCTTTTTCATTTTTTTTTTTGTGATTTTTTTTTGTTTTAAAGATCCATTCTTGCCGGGCGGTGGTGGCGCACACCTTTAATCCCAGCACTTGGGAGGCAGAGGCAGGCGGATCTCTGAGTTCGAGGCCAGCCTGGTCTACAGAGTGAGTTCCAGGACAGCCAGGGCTACACAGAGAAACCCTGTCTCGAAAAACCAAAAAAAAAAAAAAAAAAAGTAAAGATCCATTCTTGACTTTGTTAAACTTACTCTGTGTTGTTGATTTTTACTTTTTGTCTGTCTTATTTTTAGCAGGCAATAGAGGTTGCTGTGTGTGTGTGTGTGTGTGTGTGTGTGCGCGTGTGTGTATGTGTTTTAACCTTGAGGTAAAGTTTACTTGTTAGTGGCTTTCTGCTGGCAGATTTCAAGTTGTGTGTCTTCTGATGATGTACTGTCTGTACCTCAGATGACTCTACATCCATTCCATTATCACTAATTCTAAGTCCCAAATAATTTCATTTCTTTCCTAATTTCTTTTTTATCTTTTGGACTTTTGAGACTGTAGACTACGCTGGCCTCGTACCCACTGCCGCCCTCCTTCTTGGTCTCTTGCATGCTGGGATAGAATTATATACACTACACTCCATTTGTTCTCTTGTGATTTCTTTCACCCAAGGGAAATTTATAAAAGCTTCAAGCTCCCAGATGCTAGAACTTCTGTCTTTTTATTTTAAAATTTTGTGATCAGAAAAAAAAAAAAGAGTTTGACTTAACCCTTTGAATTCTTAGGTTTCTTTTGTGACTAATAACTGGTCTTATGAGTTTGTTATTGGGAACTGAATGTAGTACCTCATACATGTCGTGAGACTGCTTCCTGCTGATTAGGGGCATTGAAATCCTAGGGGGGAGGGTAAGCATGGTCTTCACCATCTGGATATCTAATTTCCCCCTCCTCCTCCTCCTCCTCTTCCTCCTTCTCTTTCTCCTCCTCCTCTTTCTTTTTCTTCCTTCTCTTCCTCCTCTTCCTTCTCTCCTTCCTCCTCCTCCTCTCCTTCTTTCTTCTTTGCAGACAACTACTTAACAAACCACAACCAACAGCATCCAACCAACCATGAACCAACAAGCCACACTTGAGGCCCTAGCATTTATATACCTTCTGAAGGGTCCCCAGAATTCCAAATGTCACACACTCACAGAAGCTACCTACAGCTGTCAAAAGCATGTTCCGGCTGGAGCACGAGGCAGATCATAGTCAGCCAATGTGGACCACATAACGTAGCCTCATATACCATACCCGGGATTACAATGAAAACACATTCTTTTATTTCTGTGTTTTTAAAGAAACCAAAATTCTTGCGACAACATGATTTTTAGACTGGCCTGTTTTCCCGAAACTCTGATGTCATTTTTCTTTACAGTCGTTGTGTTTATGAACCACATTTTCCTTATCCACTCATCTATTGATGGACAGACATCCAGGCTGGTTCCACATCCTGCCTACCATGGTCAGTAGTGCAGCGGTAAGCATGGAGCGTACATCTTGTGGTAAACTGACTAAGAGTCCTTTAGGTCTAATGTTCTCGGAGCATCTTAGTTTGAGAAGCTCCACGGAGAGAACATTCCCAGCAGCAGTGTGTGAGGAGTCATCTTTCCCCCTCCCCAGCAGCACTGCCATGCTTTCTTGATGATAGCTGCGCTGACTGTGACAAGCCGGAATCTCTGGGCAGTTTTAACATCACATATCCCTGATGTCTACTGTTGAGCATCTTTTCAGGTATGTTTTGCTATTTACACTTCCTCCGGTGAGCCGCCTGTTCAGTTCACTAGCCTGTTTATTGGTGGATGATTTTGGTTTGGGGTGTTGAATATTTTCAGTTCTTTATATATTTTACATATGCCCCCATCCTTTTCTCTAATCCCTTCAATCACGTTGGTCTCTCTGGCATTTATGGGTCTCACTGACCCCATCTCCATTTAAAGTATCAAATAATAAAACAAGGGCTCAAGGCCACTGATTTTGTGTGTTGATTCTGTACCCAGCTGCTTTGCTCAAAGTATTCATCCGGATTAAGCTCTCTGGTGGAGTCTTCACGGTTTTTAAAGATAGGATTCTACTGTCTGCGAACAGGGATAATTTGACTTCTTCCTTTCCTATTTGTATCCTATTTGCTTCTTTGTCTTCTTGCTCCAGGTAAGGCTTCAAGCAGGACACAATAATCCTTATTCCCTTTACTTTTTTCTTCTATTACTTTTACAGACACTACCAATTCTCCAAGCCTTTATTGTTCAACCCTGCTCCATTTGAATTCTCACGGACTCTTGGGTTTGGTCGACTGTCTCTCAGAGTTCTAGACACTGCGGTCGTGTTTGCTTTTTTTCATTTGCTCATTCTTCCTTTCATGTGGCCTATCTATACTGTTGAAGCGCTCCCGAATTTCACCATCTTCTGACATCCTATGGATGACCTAAATCTCCAGCTCTGGGGCTGAATTAATCTGTCTTTGTATCTTCTTTCAACGCATTGAACATTTTAACCAGAAAAGCAAGAATAAAGTTGCAGTCACTCAGCCCCGGACAGGAGGAAGAAAAGCAGAAGTTACTTCCAGAAGCAGGGCCCGCCCCACCCCTAACACTGACTGGTACATGAAACCAAGGCTTCAAGAGGAGGCTGATGGAGCTATGGAGCTTTCTCTAAAGTAGATCACATATTAGGACACAAAGCATGTCTTAATAAATATAGGGAATTAAAGCAAGTCCTTATATTTCAGCCCCATTCCACAGGAGATGATTCATGCTTTATCCTGTAAATCTGGTCAAGCGCAAGACTCTGCCTCGTTCATAGAAATTCTCACTTATTTGGAGGAGTGTAGGAGCTCATGTGTAGGTTCTCGTCGACGTCCTCCAGGTACCGACAAAAACACTAACATAGAAAGACTGATGTTAGAGCCAAAGGTGGAAACACAGTGAGCCATGTGGTCGAATCTTCTAAACCAGGAGAAGGGTGTGAGGTGTGTGGTGAACTTACAGCGAGCTGGGAGCGTGGGTGTGCAGCGTCAGAGTAATGTTGAATTATTTACAGTGAGAAGACCAAGTGACTATAAACACATGTCAGTGCATTTTGTTCACAGTGAACCCACTGGGGACTCTGATCTAAACTCTTATATTTTGAATTGAAAATTGAGGAGTTATTTTAAAAGATGGCTGGCAAAAAGCTGAAAGATGTTCCCAAGTCCCATCATGATAAAGTTTGAGTAAATTGTACTTAATTTTAGAATTAAGAATATTACCAATATAAAATTATAAAACATGTTGGAAAGAAAAGAGAAAGTAAATTGACTGGTATGTTTATTGGCAAATCTATAATCGAGCTCCATGATTTAAAATTATTTAAAACGAAAGTAAAAACATCTATAAAAAGAACATTCACTTTTTAAATGATAAGCACTTAAAAAAACTGTAGTATGATGGCTATAAAATAACAAGTTTGAAGGCAACCGACTGGTAAGTACAGAAAACATTAAAAAATGAACATTTAAGACAGTGCGTCTTGCTGTTGCTTTTGGGAGAAAAGGTGGGGACAAATTTTATCACATGTATTTGTTACAAGACTTTCCAAATGACATTGTACATGGTCATTTCTTTTTCTTCGTATTTTGCTATAATACATGAATTTACTTAAAGGAGATAGAATGAATACATTATAAAGTCGTCCTATATTCAAATATGCAGCAAATTAATTGCAAGGGGAACATCCTGAGCTTACAAGGCGCACTAGTTACACGGAGGTCTACCCACCTTCAGGGCCGCTCACACAGAGCAAGTTTATGAAGTTTATGACGCCAGGAGGAAACGCCAGGAGGAAACAGAGCGTGTTGCTCACAGCTGACTCGCCTGCCTGGGCTGACTTTTAAGTTCTTTCTCAATCATGATGAAATCTAGTTTTAAAAGGGTTTTCTTCAAACGTGAACAGTTGGCACATGACTCGTATTTGTATCTGACATTTCATTTTGTGCTTTACTCTTTTCTTGAGGGTTGGCACATACCTAAGTTCTTGGGAGTTAAACCTTGAAAGTGAAATTGTACAGAGCTGTTCTCAATTTGTATGCCACCAAGATGGTGTTCACATATTACTCGGAAAGGCTGGGAAGTTATACAGGATTCGAGGCCACAAACAGGTGTGGTCAGATGCATACTGGACTTTTAACAAAAACACTTTTCTACACTTAGCTTATATACTTTCATACTCTGAAATTTTAGACTAGTACACTGAAGAATTTAATTAGTGAAAAAAAAGCCCCAATTTTTCATTTGATTGTTTTTTTACAAAACCCTGAATATATTTTAGCTTAATTCTAAAAAATAAAAAATAAAAATAAAAGCATCATGTGGAAAGCTACAGGACAGCCCAAATAAGGCCCACAGAGACAAACACCTCCCACTGCCGTCCCTCCTGCTGGCACTAATTACACATGGTGGTAACTACTTATCTAGAGATATGTAATGAGGTCACTGGGCACACCTCCTCTATATCCAGGAAAAGATTTTTCAAAGTTGATGAGAATATAAGTAATTTCCAAACAGGTAGCTGAGTTTATTGATCTCCAGTAGGTCTGAACTTTCAGAAATAGCAAAACTACCTCAGGAAAAAGAAAAATGGTATCAGTTGAATTCTTGGTTTTATAAACAGTCTGAATGAGAAATGTATCCCACGGGCTCAGATACTTGAACCCTTGGCCCCAGTTGTGAGGGGTGCTGTTTGGTGAGGTTTAAGAGGTACAGATGGAGCAGTATGTCCCTGGGGGAAGGGCTTTCAGAGTACACAGCTTCCCCTTACTTCCTGTTCACTCTCGGCTTTGCGTGATGTGCTTGCTGCTGCCTTCCCTGATGGAGTCCTAGAACCATAAGCTCACACACACTCTTTTTTTACTTAAAAACAAACAAACAGTGAGTTCTGCTATTAGAGTAGATTTAAATCGACTTCCTGTATGATGGTCAGCACACGTGGACTGATGTCACACTTTAGAGAACATCAAATGGATCATTCTCTGAATGCTATGGGCTATAAACACAGGCATGAAAACCAAGCACACCGAAATAGTGCAAGGATATTTACATGCGTATATATAAGGCACTGATTATTAGAGCATGATATGAGCATGTTAAATCAATTAATTAATTAATTAATTCACAGTATAAGCACATTTTAAGGAGTAATTTTAGTTGGGAATAATAAAAATTCACATATCACATCAGTTAAGCTATTAATACATATTTTGTTTTTTCACATATGAAAATATACATATAAGGCTCCTTTAAAACTACACATTTTTACATAAATATCCACTGATTTAAATAAAGGTTGACAGAGGTAGGATTTGTGTCAATGTTCATGATTCACAGGAACAAGTACTTCAAATGTTTCATTGCTCTTGTGTTCTTATAAAAATTCATGTAGAAACTCACTGAAAACCACAATCTGAAAGGTAAGTGAAGACAAAAATTAGAGTCACTCAATATATTAATAAAAATCTAAATTCTAAAGTTTTACATTACAGTCTCCAATAAAAACCTATTTTCCAAATCTCATCATATGTAAGACGCATCACTCTACTTCTTGAGGAACTGTGGGACATGTGAAGAAAAGGGCAGTAATAACTCGATTTTGGTTTGCTGAGTCACAGGTTCCCTCAGTGAGCCTGTGTGATACTGTGGATGAAGAAAAACATGCATTCTTCCCCTTGTGCCTGACAGAGGCTCCTGTAAGCACTTGTTCAGTGAGAGTGACTTGGAGGTGCTGATGAGAAGACTAATGGCTGCGGGCTTGGGGAAGGGGTTGCTCACCAGAGGCAGTGTTGGGTAGAGGAGGAAGGCTAAGGGCCAGTTGCCAATGCTAATGATATATCAGCTTGTTATGCCATGTGCTGAAGCCTCTGTAAGGCCCCTCTGTAGGGTTGGAGGCCTTCCAGAGAGCTGAACGCTGGAAGCCGTGCACACACACCCTGTGTCCTGGGCGTGTTTGACCGTTCACTGGTGTCTTTGGTAGTAACTGGGTGACCATAAGCAAAGCATGAGCACCTGGCAAGCTCAATCAAACCTGGGGAGAAATCTTTGTGGCATCCTGGGCTTCACAGCAGGAAGGTCAGAAGCACAGTTACCTGGGACTGTAATTGGCAACCCAAGACAGGAAGAGTCTTGTCAACAGACCTCCTTACCAATGGGATCTGACATTGTCTTCGAGAAGAACAGTTTAGGGAATAGAGTTAAAATAGGACACCTAGTGGGTATGTGGTGGAGAATTAACTGTCAGAAGGGTTGTGTTGACTTCATGACAGTTGTTTCCCTATCTCCTGTTTTAGTGTTAATAAAAAGATAATAAAAAATGAAATTAGGTTATCTATTTTTACTATTAGAGAGACACTAATCTGAGAAATTATTTCATATGTATGTAATTTTGTCTCAGTGCTCATTGGAGAAATCCTTTAAAATTAAATTTAGTGATATTACCTAAGAAACATCTATAAAAATGATTATTGGTTAATAAACACACTGCGATACTTCAAGAGATACTTTAAGGATTAATTGTCAATTATTACAAAATTGTAAGTTGTGAAGTGTTAACAGCTGTAAAGGTTTCTGATGCACACAGACTAGAAGGGTTACAGTGGGAACTAGCATAAGTGCTGGTGGAGTTTAGAGCCGCACGGTCTGCAGAGGTGCGCAGGCAGATAAAGCGCTTGAGCTGGGTTCGGAACGCAAACAAAGATGGATTTCAGGGGCTTGCTGATCTAACTGACATGGAGAGCTTTGGTTCAGTGAGAGCCCCTGCCTGAAAGGGTAAAGTGGGACTCCACAGAGGACTCTGGCATTGAGTTCTGGCCTTCATGCGTTCACACTCGGGCCAGCACATCACACATGAACATACACATTTACTGTGGGATGCTGGGAATCAAACCAGTGGGCCTTGTTGATGCGCAGTGAGCAGTCTACCACAGTGGAGGGCCGCAGAGTCAGCGCCTCTTATGAAATCCAAGAAGAACGTTTTAGGAGATCTACAAAGTCAAGACCCCCCCACACACACCCCCCCTCCTCACCGCCTATTTCCTGACACCAATGAATCATTTGTCATTTCACTTCCTGTTTCTTTCTCATGTGTTACAGCTGACGTTTTTAGAGGCTACCTGATGTGAGAGGCCAGCAAGTAGAACTTTTAGATGTGCAGGCCATGGGGTCAGTCATAACCACCCAGCTTTGCTCATGAAGATAACGGCTGTCCTGGACAACCTGTAAAGTTGGATGATGCTTCAATAAAGTTTAACATTATCTAGAGAGGCGGGGCTACTGGTCCCACATCCTACTTGGTCAGCTACAGAGCTAAGCCATGGAGATCAAGTATGGAAATGTGTTTGGCAGTTTGTTCTGAAGCATTGTAACAAAAGGTAAACTGCCGCCTAAGCGTCCCCAAAACAACCCAGTACATGACCACGATGGAAGGGTGCAGTGACTCAGGTGACAGGAAAATAAATGTTTTAAGAACATAAACAGTCACGCAAAAAGCAGCCATCACCATCATTAGAGCGGCCCCTAGACACTGGCCTCAGTATGTGAAGCACAGAGGAACCCTTGTTTGTGACAGGACTTGGAGCCTCTGAGGAAATGTTATCTTCTACACACAGTGCGTCTATTAAAAGAGGCAAAGAACTGCATCACGTTGAAGACACTGACTCAACGGTTTCTGTCAGTGAGTGAGTCTGCACTCTTCAGTAACTATCTGCCACAGCACAGCCAGGGTCTGACTCAGGCTTCTTTCCTATCTCCAAGGAGTCAGTCCAACAAGAACCTATGCTTTAACGATGAAGACGTCTGCTTTGAAAGCAGAGTTTACGCCTATGTTCTGTCTTGGTGCATGCCAATAGATCTGTCAGTGATCCCGGTGAGCGATGCACCTGTGACGTGACCCCTTTTCTTGACTGTCTGCCTGTTGTAGGCAGGGTCTCATGTAGCCCAGGAGGGTCTAACTTACGATGCAGCTGAGGATGACTTTGAACTCCTGACCTTCCTGGTTCCACCTCCTAAGAGCGGAGGAGAGTTTTCTGAACTCATTTTGAGATCTACTGCAAACTCTTACTACTCTCTTTCTATGTCTGGTTCCTAAATTTCCTGTGTGGTCCAGACAGGCTATGAGGCAGATCCACTACACAAAGTCTTTCACTCAACCTCTTTGTATGCACCCTACACTGAGGACAGACGAGTTAGAGTCTACATCTGCATGTGACATCACCTTCACATAGCTTGTATGCCCCGCCCTAACTTTCAAAGCTTTCTCCCACACTGTTGCCCGGCAGTCTGCCATCCTCGCCACACTGAGTGCTCTGTGCCTCGTGCATGCGTTGTCTCTAAGCATTCCCCACTTCACCAGCTGTTATCTGTACCCTGAATTTCGTAGCTGGTTAATAGCATGTCCATCCTGTGACATCTCATATTTCTTAGCAATTGCTGATTCCCCCACTCCTCTGCAGTGCTAAGAGCCAGCCCAGGGTTCCTGCGTGCAAGGTGAGTGCTCCTCGAGTGCTCCTCCACAGACCCACAGTCCTGGCCCTTTCCTTTCTGTTTAGGTAAAGCTGACACACAGTAAAATGCAGAGCACATGTTCAGTTGACAGGTGTTTACAACTGCATATACCATGTAATTCTGCCATGCCACCCACACACAGAACATGTCCACTGCTCCAGGAAGTTCCCGGGACACCTTTCCAAGCCGTCTCTCTTTCCCTCACAGGGGCAATTCCAAAAGTTTTACAGCTGCAAATTAGCTTTACCTCTCTTTGGTACCTGATACATACCTTTCTGGTAACTATGTATTTATTTGTTCAGGAGACTGTACAGGAGACTTCAGAGTAGAACTCAGAGGTGACGTAGGGAGACCAAGTCGGCGCATCTCTTGGATTGCTCGCTCTCTGTAAGTGAGGATTCCATGATGTAAGCGCCATGAAAACCTAATATGTGGCTGTCAGGATTATTAGTCTACTATCTAACACCTGCTAGTGCAATCTGGATTTCTACCACCTTTGTTTTATTTTAGTTGGTTTAGTCTTTGAAATGGGGCCTTACTATGCTACCCAGGCTATCCTGGACTCAGGGGCTCAAGTGATTTTCCTGCATTGGTCTTCCCAAGCAGCTGGAAATCAAGTGGACAAGATGCCTGGCCTAGCCTTATATACTTTTCTAATCTGCAGGATTAGAAAATAAAGGTTGATTAACTTTATTTTCTATGTCTGAGTGCTTTGCCTGCAGGCATGTCTATGAACAACACATGTGCCCAGTGCCCATAAAGAGGAGAAGAGGGTTAGTTATGGATGGCTGTGAGCCACTGTGTAGGTATCAGGTCACGGAGAAAAGCAGCCAGTGCTCTTAACCACTGGGCCATCTCTCCAGCCCCAATTTATAGCTGTTCTCAGGAGTATGCAAAATATTTCAATTAAAAGAATATACATTAGAAGAAATTGTTCAAAGCAATTATGTATAGCTGTGTCAGAACACTAGGGCATTAACAAATAACATAAAAACATTAACAATCACAATGGAATATCTAGTTTTAAAAAGTTAGTGCTTAGGGGTACAGGGGTATGAGGAGAGAGAGCTTGTCTCAAAAAAAAATCCTCAAAACCAATATACAACTAGATGTTACACTCAAAATATTAATAGTGATTCTGTGGAGCTGACTTTCTTCTCTACGGTTTAAATATGTATACATATTTCTCAAGTGCTGTGCTAACGTGCGGCTTCCAGACCTTTTACACATCTGTGGCGTCTGGTGCAGTTAAGCACCTCAGCTTTCTGCCTTGCTTTCCTGGTTCTGCTTCTACCTCCAGAGCCACTTCCTAGTTCTTTATAGGACCTCTGCTTCTGCCTATCCTCATATCTGGGTTGTTCCCAGGGGCCAGCTTTATCAAGTCCTTCCTGACTCTAAGCAAAGGGAAGTTCAAACTCCAGTGTCAATACAATTCTACAGTCGTCTTTACTCCAGTAGTTACACACCTCTTCCAGAGATAGGCTTTTGCTATGTAGGGCAGGCTGGCCTCAAGCTCACAAGCTTCCTGCCTTATCCCTACTGAGTTTGAGGAGTATAGGTGTGCACCATCATATATGTGTATGTGTGTGTGTGTGTGTGTGTGTGTGTGTGAACTCAAAGACAGTCTTTTACACACCCATGTCTGAAGCAATCCTGAATCATGTGTACCTCGCTAACGTCACTGTCACTGAGTCCAGGTCCTGAGAACATTGCTCCCACGCTGTATGCTTCTCTCCTCTCCCTTCCTCTCTCTCTCTGCACACACACCTAGCCTTTGCTGTGCCTCTAGTCTCCCAAATGTCAGAGACAAGGAGCCAACTTTCTTTACTATACTGTCCTTCCAAGTGTCAGGAGTGTGTCAGTGCCCAGATGTCCCCTCAGGGGCCCCCCAGTCTGCCCTTTCCTTCAGTTACTCAGTATTCACTGTTTCTTCCCAGGACAGGTGCTCAAACCTTTTCTTTTTTCAATGTTACCCTGCCAAAGAAACTTCTAAAAGACTTTTTCTCTCCATGTTTCTCCTTCTATCCAAGATCTGGCTAGTGTACGGTGGCCTCCAAGGGCCATCAAGTGCTGGGCTACCGAGACTGTTTGTTGCCTCTTCCTACCCACAAGAAGCAGGCTTTGTCTAGAGGGTGGGAGATGGTGCCATGATGGTGAGTCACTTAGTCTGATGTAAACTTTAGCGCAGGGACCATGCGGTCATGAGGTCCAAGGTTCTTCTGAGGCCCGGGGGAAGGAAGGGTGATGGTTTTTAACTCTGGACCATAGCGAGCATGACTAAGAGTTTTGGAATTACAGAAAAGAGAAGTCACTATATACACTTTAGTACTCCATCTTCCAAATGTCAAAGAATTACAGCACTGCTTCAGTAGACCTCATCTGTACTTCATGGGGCACCTCACTCAAGTCCTGATGTAGACAGGAGGATAAAGATTTAAATGACCTGACAGGCAACGTTAGCCTACTCAAGAACTTATCTCAGGTGTCTAAAGAAAGGGCAACAGGGAAATATAAGTTGGCTGTTGATTTGCAAATTAGACTTTGATTTTAACTCATTTCTTTCTGGACACTGGTCTGGCATCATCCCTCTGCCTCGGCCTCCTGAAAGGTGGGACACATCTGAATGGACAGGTGCCATATCTGGCTTGATGTTAACTGTTGAACAGGTCTCATCTCCACACTATTTAGAGACTCAGCGTTTACACATAAAGCAAATGAACCGAACGCTGTGCATGAAAACGACGAAGGCGCAGGGAACATACCACAGAGACCAAGGCCTGAGCTGCGGCCTCAAGTCATGTTTGTGTTTCAATGGTAGCTCTGCCATTTAGAAGCGACCTCAGTTTCCCATCATGTAGGCATGACACTGGGACAGTCAGACATACTGAGAGGCCAGCTCACAACTGCTAGCTGCTCTCATGACAAGATTCCTGTTGCTCCCCATGGCAGAGCGTTCAGAGCCTCTGCCTGTACTGCACCTGGGCTCCTGCATGGACCTTTGCTGTCCCCCTCTGTATCCTATGTCCCCTGCAAAATGTTCCAAGAAACACCTCCACAGCTGCTCCCCACTACAGGGACTCTGTCTGTTATGGAGTCTCTTGCTCTAGGGGAGAAATGCCTAAGAAATGTAGTTTACATATTAATACTAAAGCAGCTTGGTATTCGCAAGCCATATTAAGTACTCTTTAAATAGGATAGAAGATATGTAAAAATACTGTTTATTGCTAAACAGAAATGCCTTACCGTTCATATTTCTCATTTGACATCTGTCTTTTCAGATTATCATAATCTGTCTGCAACTGTGCCACTTTAGTTCGAAGCATGGAGGTTTCTCGGCTTTGGGTAGTTCTTAAAAACAAATGTATAGATCTTAGAAATAAAAAAACGAATGACGTCTTTGTGGAATCAAGTGCAGATACAGATGGACGTGATGCTTAAGAACAGACAAGACCACAGCTTTCCAACAGTGGCTCTCTCTAACTCGGAGCTTCTGCAGTCTTTTGGCTTACTGTCAGTTACGGAGCTGGTAGTACGTGCTGCCCACGCAGCAGAACCCATGAACTAGAAACACAGGATGTAAAACATCCTCCTTGGTTCTTCCTTGCCTTACAAAGAACACTCCCCTCGGCCCTGTAAAAAGCCCACTTTTTCTGCAGGCTTGCAAGTCCAGGCTCTTCTCTTCTAGGATGATGTCATTGCCTTGATGGTGATGAACACACTTATGAGAACTGAATCTCACCGGCTCTAAGCCTTTCCTATCTACAACCAGCTCACCCAGACATGCCTCTCCTCAGCAAAGCCTCTGTTCACTCCTCAAATTCAGGTCCTCCCTGAAGCTCACTCCTCCCCTGCTCGCTCCCATGGCACCACCTGGGGGTGAAGACATACACATCTACTGCTTCAAACACCACGTCTCCTGAGCTACTCCTCCGGATGTCCAGAGGCAACAGGAAAGAAGGTCAGACGCCGTGGTTTTGTGTTACAGCCCTCCAATGCCCCCGCTACCTCCAACACCCTTGCTACCTCAAAAGTCGAAAAGTACTTTGTCAAAGTTGCTTCCCCACACAGGTTGTTCCACAACACTTACAGTTTGCTTTCTGAGAGGTTTAGCTTCTCCTTCAGTAGCTGGATTTCTGTGTCCTTCTCATGGGAGGTTAAATGGGACTGGAATTCTTTATCTCTGTTGGTAGCTAACAGCGACTCGAGGTTTTTAATTGTCTGTCTCTCACTCATCAGCTGCTTTTTTAGCAGTTCCGATTCCGATTTTACATTCTCTAATTCTGCTGCTGCCTACAGAAAAACAAACATTAATTCAGTAAAGTCTAGCCATAGTTTGGAAAATTATTTTTCTTACAATATAACAGCAACTGACTGCTCGGTTGTTTCGTTTTTGAGTGCTGGTTGAAGACGTCAAAACATCTCTTTAGTTGTAAGAAAAGCATCATGATTTAAAGTCCTCTTTGCTACTTCTACCAGGGCTTCTTTGGCTTTAAGGCGCACTCCACCTCTCCAACGATCACCAGCCATCTCCCTCAGCAAGACAGGGTAATGATATGATGAACCTCCCAGCCCGCCAGCCACGAGTCTGTGCTCTCTGCAGCATGCCTACTCTCTGAGCACAGTCAGGCAAGTACTGTCACTTCTCAGTACCACTCAACAAGTGAAATCCAAAGACATGTTCACACGAGAGCACACGCCAGCCCAGTCAAAGTTATATCTCAATTTGGGGATGGGCAAGTCTAGTAAAGAAGGCTTAATTAATAAAGTAAATGCCTTGAGATTTTTTTTATTAAAATTTCAACTTAGAAAACTGTTTAATCTTTCAATCAAATTTTACTTTTAAATAAAAAAGAATGTATGTTCCTGATCTATACCTAAAAAATGCCTAACATCTTAAGTACCGTCTATTCCAAACCCAATTTTATCCGCTTTTTATTTTCTTGCAGCGCTGAGACCAAATCTAGAGTGTCTCACAGGAAAGCAAGGACTCCCTGCTCAGCCACACCCATCACACCCTCGTGCTCCACTGACAAACCTTAGCACAGAGTCGGTCAAACCCAGCCATCAAAATCTTGCAGTCAAAGGGAACAAATGGAACACTCGGAAAGCGGAAGTGAAGTCATGCCATGGGTGCAGGCCTCTGTAAAGCGGTGTGCCCACCAATGTCCCTGGGCACCTACCCTCTCCAGCTCAAGGCTTTTGGAGCTCAGCTGCTGGGTCATGATGTCTTTGCCCGAGTCGAGCTTAATGCACAGTTCTCGGAGAGACGACACGTCACCTAACACAGTGGCTTTCTCGCTCTCGTGACGCCGTAGCTCCTCTTCTAACTGAGACATGGCCTTTGCCATTGATGAGATCTGAGACTCATAAGCGTGATGTGCATTTATGTGCTGAGAACAGAAAGCAAAAGATGAAAAGTAACGGAACTCAGTCACTCAAAGTGCAAGCCTTCAAAGACGGCTTCTGCAATCTGTGTAGCCACAAACTTACTTCAGAAAACCAAATGCCCATGTTTGCATATGCTAAAACATTCTCAGGAAGTAATGTGCTATTTTAAGACAGCCTAAACAGGGAGTTAATGCATAAAAGGAATGGCATATAATTATTAATCATAATCATAAATAATATCTCATGTATATATTTAGAAGATACAAAAATGAAAATTATACTGAAGTGTTGTGACTTAGTGTTTTTAAAGTTTATATTTATAAATGTGCCTTGTTATAATTTTTCTCATCAAATAGTAACATGTAATATAAAAATATATTTATATATATTTGCAAATCACTTTTAAATTCTAAATTCAAAACTAGGGTTTATTTTAATACTAAGTACCAAAATTTATATTTAAATTTAGTATAGTTTCATTGGCTAACGTTATAAGATTTTAGTGATTTTTGAAATAATAAGCAAAATTTGAAATACTCATCAAAGACTTTCCCAAAATAACACACATCTAAACTTCTTGTTATTTAAATTTTATGTGATAACTATGAATTTATATAAAATCTACTTTGGGGTTTCAGGAAGATAGCCACTCTTAAAAAGCAAAATGACTTTAACAGAGTTTCACAGAAATCAATTAATTAGAAAAAAAAACAATATGTGCACTTGGTTTATGAGATGTCACAGGTATAGAAAAGCAAATGCTTGGATGTTCCTCTGTTAGTACCCTGAACAACCAGCAGTTCCCCCAAATTCAATGCAAGTACATAAGGCCAGGCTTGCAGTTTGGCTCACTGCCAGGACACTTCCCTAGCATGCATCAGGCTGAGCATCCAGCCTCAGCACAACTAAAACAAACAAAACAATACGAAAAACCTACACAAACTCATTCTATACATCACATAAGAATATTAGCAGTAATAAAGAATAAGACCATAAGGAATCCCCTCTAAGTAACTGTTAAAAGCAGACAGGCATTTCTTTAATAAAGAATTTGTAGAGTCACTCTAGAGTTTGGAGGCCTGCCCTTAGAGATGCTGCAAACTGCATATGTTGTTTGAGTGACACCCTATGGGGGCTTGTGCAGCTGAACACGGTCCCCAGTTGGTCCTCTCTTGGAGAGGTTATGTAAATTCTGGGACACGGAGACTTGCAGGAGGAAGTGTGTCACTGGAGATGGCCTTTGGGAGTTTATAGCCCTGCCCGCTCCTGGCTTTCTCTGTTTTCTGTGTGAGTGAAGGTGTGAGTGACCTCAGCTTCCTGTTCTGGCCCCCTGCTGCCATGGCATCTCCAGCCCCTGTTATGGACTCCCCCTCTGGACCTAGAAACCACAGTAAACTTTCTTCCATGAGTCCCTTTTGGCCATGGTGCTTTATCACAGCAAGAGAAATCACTGTTGACACCGAGGACCATCAATTCCCCTTCAGATCTGGACACTGCAAGCCAGTATTACTTTTTAAAAATATTTTCAACTTTATGTGTTATGGGCATTTTGCCAGCAAGTCTGTACACTATGTGCCTGCAGGACCCACAGAGGCCAGAAGAGGGTGACAGATTCCTCTGAAACTGGAGTTACCAACTGTTGTGAGTCACCCACCCTGCAGGTGCTGGGAATCAAACTCAAGTTCTCTGAAAGGGTAGCCAGAGATCTTAACTACTAGCCCATTTCTCTATCACTGCAAACCCAGATTTTAAGAACCAGCTCTTTCTGGAGACTGAGGCAGCGTTCTATGCCTCTCTCCTTTCTTTGGTGTTGTTGGCAGTCACCTCGCCTTGTAGACGTCCCTACTTCTACTTCCCAGTGCTCATCTGTGTCCCAAATCTCCCTCATCTAAGGTGGACACGGGCTGTTCACTGGATCATGGTCTGCTTTACCTGGCAGGATCTAATCTTAACCATGTCTGCAAAGACACTGCTTTCCACCAGGTCACACGCATGAGTACTCAGGGCACCCGCTGGAGTAGGACAGTAGCAGAGCATGCCTGAACGGCACCCTTCCTGGACGGCGCAGCCTCGCTCACCTCCTGGATCTCCTTCTCCAGGAGCTCCACGCGTTCCCGCAGGTGCCTCCGCTCGGTGTCGATGGACAGCAGCTCCAGGCGGACGGAGCTATTCTCCCCTTCCGCTTGCTGAGCCTTGACCTCCCAGTCCTCAGCGCGGTTGTGAAGCATCTGGAATCTATCTAGTAAGTCTTTGTTTTCTTTTTCCTGGTTTGAGAACAATTACAATAGTTCTAAGTCAGTACTGTCAATGGGACATCTATATCACACACTCACACACAGACACACAGACACACACACACCCCCCGCACCGGGAACTGCTTGAATTTAGGAAACATCAGCATGTATAAAGGTACTATCCCAAGATCCATGGAGAAATATAGTTAGTAGGAAAGACTCCTACTCTCAGATATCTAATATGTAATCTCAAATGTCCAACATTTAATGCTGGAGGCAGAATTAAAGACACAAGAGAGCTTAGAAGCCGGGTCTTAGATGCGAGCTAAGCAGTGCTTCTCACCTTGGCGGCCATGAGGCTCTCCCACCGCGACACCTCAGTGATGTACTTGTGGACTCTGCTCTTCATCTCCTCTTTCTCTTGCACAGAGGCTTCCAGCTCCAGTGAGATCTCCTGTGAGTGAGCAGAGCAGAGAGCCAGTCAGGCTGCAGTCACATGCACAGCTCCTTAGGAACTGAAGAGAAGTGTGGGAAACCTCTACTGTGCTATTTTTCCACGGCTAGCCGTGTGTGAGTGTGTGTGTGTGTGTGTGTGTGTGTGTGTGTGCAGTGAAAGCATACGTACAAGCCGATGTGCAGAGACACAGAGCAGAGGAGGATGCCAGATGTCGCTGCCACCCTCCCCCTATCCTCCCGGGACAGATCTTTCACTGAAAGTGAAGCTCCTTATTTCATTGAGGCTGGCTGGCCAACAAGCTCCTGGGATTTGCTAGTCTACAACACCAACTCTGGGGTCACAGGCAGTCAGCCAGCCCTTTTATGTAGGTGCTGGGGATTTGAACTCAGAACACCTTACTTTCATTTCACAGCAAGCACCCTCTCCCACTGAGCCATCTCCCCAGCCCAGATCTTGACTTTTTAGCAAACTTTGCCATAAAACTTCCATGACAGTTCTGACTTTGTATTTGATTTTATATCAGGGTGAGTTAGTTGGTATTAAAAAGCTGATATAATTACAATATGGTTGATATTGAATAATACTGAAAGTAATTTTTATATTACATAAAAGAATCATCAGTCCTCATAACATAATCCTGTAATAAACCAATATAAACAAAAATTTACAACATCTGCCATTTAAAATATCCTCTTATTTGTTCACAGATCCGTCTCTAAGAGAATGGAAGTAAGCACAGGTTACTAGACCTGTCATGGTCCTTTATACATAAAAGAGATGCCTAAGACTGAGGCTGTGCCAATTTCCCAATGAAAAGGCACACAATAGCATCTGGGTTAGAAAACAGGATCCATCTTTTTTTTGTCACCAAGAAACAGACTTTACCATTAAAGATAGGCATCACCTTAGGACATAAGGATTAAATCAAAGAATTCTATGAAAGGAACTAGGAGATAGAAAGACAGTATTTTTTTTTCAGCTTTTTCATTCTAATTTATAAAAACAAGGTTGCAGACCGAAAATGATTTAAAAGCAGACATCTCCTTACAAGATCATTTAAGGTTAGACAGACACTTAGTACTGACAAAAGTGAAGGGGAAACAAAAGATGCAAATCATTAATATTCAGTGTTATCATTGAAAGGTATGTATCAATTCAACTTGGAGCATTTAGTAATTTCCCAAATATCATTTGCTTAACTACTATTCTAGCATGGTTTATTCTTTCCTGATGATTCTTAGATACATTTATTTTTCTCTTCAATTGAAAGAGTTTCTTCCAGAATCTTCTTTTTGAAATGGTTTAGTGGTCAAAATTCCTTTAGCTTGCTTTTATCATGGAAAGATTTCCTTTCTTTTAATTATGGCAAGTAGTTTTGTTAGGTTTGGTGTGTGTGTTGGCAGCTGTGGCCTTTCAGAACTCAAGTACATCCTTCAAGACCTTTGGCTTTTAAAGTTTCTGTTGAGAAATAGCTGTAATTTTGATGAACCTGCCTTTATGTGTAAGTTGGTGCTTTTTCTTTCAGCTTTTAAAAATTACAATTTATTTGTTCTGTGCATTTAGTGTTTGACTATTCTAAGATATGGAGTATTTCTTTACAGTTCTGTCTATTTGTGTTATATATGTTTCTTGTACTGTGAAGGGCATTTCTTTCTCAAGATTTTGAAAAATTTGTATTATAATTTTACTAAAAATGTTCTGGTATCTTTGGAATGGAACTTTTCTATATGCATGGTTCATAAAACAAACAAACAAACAAACAAACAAACAAAAAGACTGAGGCTGTGTACCCACCCCATCCCAACAAAAGCTGTGCTCCCTAGTGGCTGGGTGACACACCTGCCTTCCCACACTTGAGAAGCCGCAGAAGAGAATAGGGAGCCTTGGCTACATAGGGAGTTCAAGGCCAGCTGGGGTTACATGTGACCCTGTGTCCAAACAAACAAAGCAAACAAACCAACTCCTAGGAAGTATGTTCAACTCCAGACGGAAAAGGAGACTGTCCCTGCGCTGATTAGACATTGTGCTACCTGTACTCTGAGAACTACCTTTGCTAATCTCAACAGACACCATTCTCCTCAAGGAGTTACCCTGCTTCCATTCAATCCTGCTGCATTTTTGAAGAATGTATTTGGAAGTTTAATACTTAGCAAAAATGTAAGTTCATGAGAAATCTCTGCCTGGTTTCATACCTGGTTTTCTCTTGCCATCGTGGCCAGGTCATCTTGTAACCTTCTGTTTTCCTTAAAAGAGATCTCTCTCGATTTCCCAACATCTTCGAGCTCCTTGTGAGCTGCATCGAGCTGGCGCCGGAGGCTGGCTACCTCGCGGTCTCGGTTAGTCAAAGTTTCTTTTAGCTGGCTGTCAGAGGGGAGGGCGGTAGTAATAAAGTATCATGGAAAGTTCCAGCTCACTTAAAGTAAGATGATACAGTCACAGTAAACGTGTGAGTACAACAGAGTCTACATGCTGGCCTTGGACACTGACTGAAAACACTCAGGTACTTTATATACAAACAAAGCCACAAGATGAATATTATTATTATATGAGTTAAGCAAACGTAACATTTTCAAGTGTTAGAGAATCAATTTAAAACCACATTAAATATTTAGTGCTTATATTGCCATTACTATATAAAGCATAAAGGCATGTAGAATAAATATAATTAGTGACTTTTCTTTTTAGATAGCTTGAAATCTTTCTGGAGACCAGACACAAAATGTGAAAAATTTAAGAGTGCTCAAGATAGGCTTAATTGAGGAACAAATGCAAAGCTGGCCATTAAAGCAATCTAAGTCGAGATAGCAGGACTTGAACAGGTGACTACATAAGCATAGAGAGCGAGTGGGTAAAGACAAAGGCAATGCAATCCGACAGCAGCAGGGAGCAAGTCAGAGCAGGGCTGAGCAAGCAGGGCTGCCACAGGCAGAGCCGGAACTTCACGGGACAAACAGTGCTGGCTCCAGACTCTGCTAAGGAAGAGTCATAATAAGGAAGGCCATATTTGCTGGAAATTTCTCGTGAACACCATTTGTTGGTTACTCACTTAAGTGACTTTTCACACTCTGAGACTGTGACCTTCAACTGGGCAATAACTTTTTCCTGGAGAAATTACAGAAACAAAAGATTATAAGTCATTCATACAGAATTGTCTTCTGCTAAATTTGCATAATCAACTAAATTTAAGTAAGTTCAATGACATAAATTATACATAAAAGCACGCTCTAAAGAAACACAGTTCTATGCCCATCTATATGTTATGTCTTGGTATGTCTCCACCCACCGAAGAGCTGAAGTGGCTTCCTTAAAGTGTGCTTTAATGAGACCACATCACATACTAGGAACAGATAAAATCCCACTGTAAAGATTCCAATGACTAGGACAGGAGGACATCTAGCTATGTCACAGCAGAGTGGTGGGTCTCAGGACTCCCTCACGGGCTGTACAGACTCCGTATTTCCTGTGGAGACTGAGCAGGCTCTCCTGCTGAGACGTGGAGACCGTGTAGCAGATACATACTTTACTAAGGAGGCTTTCCTGCAGGTTGGCGATCTTTTCCGTCTTCTCATCCACAGTCTCTTGGAGAAAGTCCTTTTCTTTGTCGATCACTCCGATGGTCTTCTTCATTGCGTGAGTTTCTTCATTCTGCACCGTCATCCTGTGGTTGAGATTCTCTACAGAGGGAGAAGAGTGTTTGTTAGGTGGAGGCAATGGAGGGTAGCAAAAGCAAAATTTCAAAAGGCTCACCTAGTTTTTGCTCCAGCATTTTAATTTGTTCTTGGGCTGACTCAAGTTCCCCTCTTTTTACAGCAAGCCGGTGCTGACAGTCATCGAGTGACCGCTGTAGCTGTTCACTTACCATCCTAAAGCAGTGACAAAGACAAACGGCATTTCTTATCTCTCACAGAAACAGCTTTCATACATGAGTGGTCCTAAAATAGCTTGATTTCTTATTTAAGTTTCTTTTATTTCTTATTATAAAGCTCTTCCGGTCTAATCAATAGTTTCTATTATACATATTATTTCTACCACTCTTCTCCAAAATGCTTTCATCTTCTTAAAAATGATATGGTATTAAAATGAAATCAACTGTCTATTCTCTTCCAGAAGTTTTTGCTAGTTTTAAAGTTCTCCTAAGTTCCCTAACATCAAGCCCCCCTTTCCTCAAAATCTGCGTCTGAGAGTAGAATCAAAGCTCTGTTTTAATAACATGGCTGGCACTCCAGACTCTCCATAAGTCCTCACCATCCGGACCATGTGAGCTTGTAAGCTTGCTTCTTATTATGGCTCTCTGGGTGGCAGGTGACTGCAGGCCACAGTGCTGGGAAGACAGGCATTTCTTACAGTGTGATGGGATAACACTACAGGCTGGTTTCAGGGAGCCAGAGGAAGGGCTCATGGCCACATAAGCTGTCCATGGAAATCCCTGTCTCTAGTGTCTGTCACTAGTTGGAAGTAACAGCTCGTTTTCAGAAGTAACATCCTGGAAGTTGTTGCAACACATCTCTGGTGTCATAGTCACAGGCTTCTGGATGCTTCTATCTCTGAGCAGGAAACATTTCCCCTGTCTGGCTCAAAAGACCATTCTCACCTCAGCTAGCTGGGATAATTTCCTTTTGGGTTTCCTTTGAGGATAACACACTGAAGAAGATACTGACGGGAGCCTGACTTAGAAAGACCTACTGAGCAAGGGGTCCAGTTCTCAAAGCGACGAGTAAAATGGGACATTTCTATAGACATCAGTTTATAGGCACACTGGGGTATTCTGAAGACAAAACACTAACACAGCCCTCACAGCCAGTGGATGATGAAGGCCAAGGCAGGCAGGGCAGTAGAGCTGACTGATTTCTTAGAACTGTACAACGGAACCAAACCAAGTCAGAAAGAGGCCAGGTTCAGGCAATTTTACTTGGAAAAGCATCTGCAGTCCCAAACCTAGAGTCCTGAAACCTAGACTCACGGTGTGCAGGGACAGTAAGGGGAGGGGACTGTGGACATGTTAGTTCATGTGTTCCTGGAGTAGTTCTGTTACAACTATTCTCCTAAGTTTACTGAAACAATTTACTTGTCCAGGATCACCAAACTACCAGGGCAAAGGCCAAGGTGCCAGGATAGGCTGTCTCATACTGCCTTCTGTGCAGAATGCAGGGAGACCAGTTATATCTAAGGCAGTGGCTCTCAACCTTCCTAAGGCTTCAACCCTTTAATACAGTTCCTCATGTTGTGGTCACTCTGACCATAAAATTATTTTTGCTGCTACTTCATAACTGTGATTTTGATACTGTTATGAGTTGTAAATACCTGTGTTTTCTGATGGTCTTAGGTGACCCATATGAAAAAGTCATTAGACTCCCCCAAGCTGAGCATCACTGCTCAACGTGGACAGGGAAAGGGAATGATTCACAGGGGACCTTACTGAAGAGCATATGGCTGGCACTGCTCAAGCCTCTAGGCAGAACTTTGTCTCCTTTGCACGTAGCTTTATAAATGGTGTGCTGTGCTGTTGGGAGTGGAGCTGATGAAGACACCAGGACAACATCTGGACAGACGGAAAGGAAGCCCTCAGGTGAGCCCTAACAAAGGCTGTACCTCTTCTATCCCAGTGCAGAGGACAGGGCAACAGAAAAGTCTGCACTACTGCTGCCCAGAGGCTTCCTAGTGGGAGCTGGGAAGGAGGCTCATGGATGGGCCGCCATTTTACTGTCTCTAAATTGGAAGGGAACTTTGAAAACTAAGTTGTCAGTAAAAAATGAATCAGTTTCTTAGCTTTAAAACTTACAGAACAAAGAAATGATTTCCCACCAGAAAAGAAAACAAAACTGAACTTAATTCTGGCTCTGCACCTGACAGACTTATGCCCGGTTCAAATCATCCCTCAGCTTCCAAGTCCACTGTCACAGTACGTCACAAGGGCCGTGCATACTCTCATTTTTGGGATAAAACGAATTATTACCTTGTAGCGGCATATTTTCTGCACAAGTTGGGAGTAGCTTAGGTGGGAGGAGTAAGGAGAGGAAGAGGAGAAGTAAGAGGAGGAGCTAGGGGAGAGAAGACGAGAGAGAGCGGAACATGGCAGCAAACACGCACGTGTCTCTAGCAGTCAAAGGTAGTCGATATATCTAGGTTGGGTATTGGGTTACACCTCTAACAGTGTGGACATCTTGTTATTGAGCATTACTAAACATACAAAGCCTTTAGATAACCTAAGCATTAGAGTCTCATTTCTACCAGGTCTGTGTGGATGGCGGGATGGTCTGGGCTCAACCGAGCCTTGTGGAGACAGTGTGGAAGATTGGCAGAGACATCTCCCACGCTGGCGTCTCATGGGTGGCAGGGCCACTGTCTCCGGCCACCTGAACCAGTGGCCTGAGCTGGTGGCCTGAGCTGAGTGGTGGTGAAAATATGCCGCCACTGCTCGTGGCCACAGGCCTTGTCTAGTCGGGAAGATAGATGGCAGCTGATTAAGAACAAACCAGATTGGTGCTGCTGTTTTAAAATATTACTGAAACAAAGTGGTGCCCAGCGCGGGGCACGAATTTACTAGAAATTTAAGTCTATTTCACCTGAGAGTAAAAGTTGCATTTCTTTAAAAAAAAAAAAAAGAAAATGAGTGAGTAAGCACTGAGATAAGTCACGTGACTCCTAGCATGGGAACCCTGAACAAAAAAAAAAAAACCTGCTTGTCCTCTGCTGTGAGGAAATGTGGGTTGCTTATTGTTAAGAAAAGAAGCAAGTAGCTTACTTCTATGACAGAGAGATTTGAACTGTGAATTAAAATTGAGATTATTTGTTTTTAAGATAGATTTAGAAACAATTTTGTCTGATTCACATGGGGAATCTTGCCTGAGGTTCGGAACAAAGATAGGTAGAGAAAATTTGTCTGTGGCTCTGTGCCTAGACCGACGACATACATTATTAACTTCTCTGAGTCAAGAGAGCCAAATAAATAAGCCTCCATTGTGATAATAAGCAGTTACTGTATTAAGTATAAAGTTACAATATATGGACTATTTGCTTTTAGGAAAGATTTATAAACAGATTTGTCCGAATCACATGAGGATTATTGTCTGTGGTTTGGAACTTAGGGAAAACTGTCACTGACTCTAGAGTAGAGAGTACAGTGTATAAATAGAGACTGTTCTGGCAGAGGGCAGAACAGAAAGATAGTGTGAATCAGGTGTATTCAGATGATATAAAGTTATATTGCCTCACAGGAAACTTGGGTTCTGTCTAACGTGGGCCCCACAGGAATTCTGGGTTCAATTCCTGCTTGGCAAAATAGGAAAGGCCTAAAAATAGGCACATATAGTATTTTAGTTATTAAATTGATTTTATATTCAAGATAGGTGTGATTTTCAGTTTTGTGGTTATATTTTTTCCTCTGGGAAAGAGATTAAGATAAAGGTTTTTCTGGTTATTGGCTCAAGGATATTCTGTTTTGGGAAGAAGGTTTTGTCTGTGTGTTTTCAGAAGAGATGATTTAAGATATTTCTACCTCCCAGAATTATATGGATTAGGCATGACAGAGGCAGGCCGCCAGAAGACTAGATTCCAGAATTCAAACAAAAAAATATCTTGATACTAAAATTTGTTTTGAGAATTGTATATTGCAGAATACACAGCTTTGGTGTATCTATTCATCAAGCAAGCTGAGCAGACCTGCTTGAACCTCTGATGTCCTGGAATTTCAGCTGGATACAGTGAAGACACAGAGTCAGAGGCTTATCAATTTACTCTTCCCCCACCACCACCCCTCTTCTCATATCTCAATGCCTGTAACCAGCTTGAAGAAGTTAATTAAGAGTCAGTGTCCCTATTCCCCGGGCTTGGGGACTGAGGTGGTTAATATTAGGCTGTCCTTCTAGGGAAAAGTAATGATTTTATTGGAACAGGGAGGAATAGCTAGAATTGATTACATAGCCATAACCTATTTGGTAGAAATCTGTATAACTGTTATTAAGCTGAGGTTATAATTTCTTACATGGTACAAAATTTATTTTGATTTCAAATTCAAGGGTTTCATTGGTATATTTTCTTCTATTAAGCAAAAATTGGTGGGTACAAGGTACCCAGTCCTTCTTTATTTTTTATTTTTTAACTGATCTGACATGGTTAGCCTGTGAGTTAAGGACCTATAACAAATTCATGGCTCTGAGTTTACTGTTAGGGTGTTTTCTAGATTTTAATTAGAAATAGCTGAGAGGAGTTAACAGACAACAGTTCAGATTGCGGTACATAGATAGTTGTTTTTCAAAAACGTCAGAAGTCCACAGAATTGATGTTACAAACGTTTCTCAATGTCTTAATGTTCATTTTGATTAGAGACCTGTCTGCACCTGACAGCTTCCCTGTCTTGGAGTCTAAGAAGGAATTGAGCATCTTTGAAGTTACTCCAGTTGTGGTGAGACTGCCACTAGACAAAAATTGCCTGTTTTCATCTACAGACAAATTACTGTCCTGAAAAGGACACACTTGCAGAATAGTCAACTGATTATATCTGCCAACACAGAGTGATCAGCCCTTAAAAATTCTGCATTACGAGGTCTGTCAGTTGATCTGGGCCAGAAGGCTGAAGGCCAAATGCTCCAATGTTTTAAAGTAAGGAACTGTCCATAATCAGCAGTCTCTATAAATTGGCTAAGTTTTAGAAGCTACGCTTTGTGCTTCCCATTTCAGTTAATTCAGTCATTCTGGATTTCTGACGGTGTTGAAGACTTATAGTCTCATAGCCAACCCAGGCTATTTACTTAGGGAGAACAGATTTGAGAGGATGGTTTTCAGCTGACATTCATTCTAAAGCCAGGACATAAGCCAGGTTCAGAACTAAGTCTTTTAGCTAGGAGAGATGACAGAGGTTCTGTTTAGTTGACAAAAATGATGGACTAGGTATTAGGTCTATCTTGTACCTTACTGATACAAATTGGTATAGTTATGCTTTAATTGTATTTTGAGAGAAAGTTTTTTTTTTTTTAAACAGGAAGGATGATATGTAGCGGCATATGTTCCTGAAAGTTGGGAGAAGCTAAGGTGGGAGGAGTAAGGAGAGGAAGAAGAGGAGTAAGGAGAGGAAGAATAGAAGGAAGAGGAGGAGCTAGAGGAGAGATGACGAGAGAAATGGGAACATGGCAGCGGACGTGTGTGTCTCTAGCAGTCAAAGGTAGTTGATACATTTAGGTTGGGTATTGGGTTACACCTCTAATTGTGTGGGCATCTTGTTATTGAGCATTACCAAACATATAAAGCCTTTGGATAATCTAAGCATTAGAGTCTCATTTTCTACTGGGCCCGTGTAGATGGCGGGATGGTCTGGGCTCTGCCCAGCCTGTGGAGACAGTGTAGAAGATTGGCAGAGCCATCTCCCACGCTGGTGTCTCATGGGTGGCAGGGCCGGTGTAACTGGCCGCCTGAGTGGGCGGTCTGAGCTGTGGACAGCAAGTGGGGGTGAGAACAAGCCACCGCAGCTCGTGGCCTAAGGCCTGGGCTAGTTGGGAACATGGTGCCTCTGTAACACAAGCAGATTGAGTGCCACCGTTTTAAATATCTCCGGCAACATTACCTTTTGTTACAGAGTGTATCTAAAACATCTTAAAACATCTTCTAAAAGTTCTTTCATTCATAAAAAGTTTCAATTTCTAAAATGAAGTTCCGCCTAAGAGAGATACGTCTGGAAATTCAATGAGCGGTTAGAGGGAAGCTACTGATGGGCTTTCCTGGAGTCTCTTCTATGAGCCCGTGGTCCACACTCATTACTGACTATGAAGACTAGGAATAGCATCACATGGTGCACCAGGAAAGGAAGAGGGATAAGAATGATTTCAACATTGGCTCCACAAGCTCAGACTTTATCATTTCGTGCGAACATTCTTGTTCTTGTTGCTAAGAAAATATGGTAGGGGCCAGGTGGTGGTGGCACACACCTTTAATCCCAGCACTTGGGAGGCAGAGGCAGGTGGATTTCTGAGTTCGACAGTTCGAGGCTAGCCTGGTCTACAGAGTGAGTTCCAGGACAGCCAGGGCTACACAGAGAAACCCTGTCTCGAAAAATAAAATAAAATAAAATTAAAATAAAATAAAATAAAATAAAATAAAATAAAATAAAATATGGTAGGGATACCCCAAAACAGTGTTAGGTATCCCAGGCAATCCATGAATTTTCATCTCCTTATCTAAAATGATTTCTGATTCCTTAGCAAATATTTCTCAAGGGAAACTAGTTGCATATATCTGGATATACGTAACATTCCTAAATATATCTAACATCTTAAAGATTTATTTATTTTATGTATATGAGTGGTCTATCTGAATGTATACCTGCAAGCCAGAAGAGGATATCAGATCATATTAAAGATGATTAGGAGCCACCATATGGTTGCTGGGGATTAAACTTAGGACCTCTGGAAGAGCAGACAGTGCTATTAACCACTAATCTATCTCTCCAGTCACTAACATTTTAAATATATTTGTATGTTTCTGATTATATCTAAACAAATCTCAGTAAAACAACTGCTATCACAGACTCATGGAGAGTTCCTGAGTCATTTCCAGGAGATGGCTATTGCACGCTGTCCTCCTAGATAAACACGTGACGCTCTTGGCTCTACTGATACACTGAAGACTAAGGGCTGTGCTACAGGATTCTAGATGTTAAGTGGCGAAGACCACTTACTTGAGCACAGAGATTTGAGATCAAGTCTGGGCAACAGTAAAAATGCACAGAAAGGTTACAGTGACTGCAAACACACTGACAGTCTCAGCTGCAACAACAGCAGTTACAGTGATTAAGATGCCTGCCATGGGGTGACTGAGAAAAGGGAATTGTCTAACCGGGCTGGGAAACAGTTTCTCCTTGAGCACAGGTTAACAAACCATAGCTGATTGCTTAATTTTTTCTAGCTGCAAAGAGTTTTTAATGTTTAAATGAGTGAAAAAAATATTTCCAAAGGAAAACATTTTGTGACATAAAAATTAAATGCAATCCAAATTTCAGCATGCATGAATAAAACTGTGGTGAAATAGAACCACCATCCCCTCACTTACATACTGCCTATAATGACGTCTGCACTTCAGAAGCTGGGTTTAAAGGTGTGGCGAAAACTACATGGCCCACAGAGTCTAGAATACTGAGTAGGCAGGAAGTTTGCTGACCCCGGTTCTAGAGACTGGCTAGCATGCAAAGGTGTTGAGACCCCTCGAACTCAAATTTTTATCAATGCTTATCAACTGAATACTGAAGACATACTGACCTTGAAGATAAGTCCCCCCCATCACACACACACACACACACACACACACACACACACACACACACACAGAGGGGGGATGGAAGAGGGGAAGAGAGATTTGGTCAGTAGAGAGCAGAGTTCTGATATCATGCAATACGCACGGTAGAGGGAACAATTCTCATAACCCTCTCCTACTGCACAGTGACTGAATGGCACACAGCTGTAGGCCGAAGCAGGCTGAACTCATAAGAAAAAATGGCATTTGTATCAGAACAAAAACTGTAAAGCAGCTACAGACCAGACTATGGCATCCACAAGAGGACACCAGCTGCTGTTTCCAGAGTCTTCTGTAAGGAAAAGGAAGTGGTGGTATGGTTATGATCTGAAGGAAAAGAAAAATGGCAGGTCTGGTCAGCTAGATACAATAGCAAAAAGGGTGGACTAGCAATTCTGCAGACGAAATGTAACACTGTATCTGCCTGGACTTTGGAGCTGTGGGCTCACTCTACTCTCCTTCATAGAATACCTGCAGACAGAGGGAATCGGGAAGGATAAAGCTGTCTCTCTTAGCTTTTCGTAAAGCCTGCCTGATAAAGAAGGTAGTAAGGCATCAATGGGGAAAAGGTTGTTGGTAACCCGAGCGCCCGAGTCTCTCTCTCTCTCTCTACCTTCCTGCCTTCCTCTTCCTGTTACTTCTGCATCACAGGTCGCGGTTTCTTCTAACTGTAGGTTTGTGACTCCGGCTTTTGTATATGGAGTCTGTGTCTTTTACTCTCACCATTTCTTTTTCTATCTGAATTGTAGGTGAAACTCTTGAACCTGCTCTTTATTTTACCAAGTCAGTTTTCTACAGTAGCCAATCTACCACTCAATAACCCTTCAACTGTAACTTATCAATCTATTTTGAAAAATCATCATCACTACCATCCTTCCTGATTGCAACATGTTACTGCTTCATGATTGAGCTGCATAAAGATTTTGTTGACATTCAAAGATTTCTTCCTAATTTTTATGGCAAATGTTATTTAGAGAAATAAAGGCGAGAAGAAGGAAAGAAGGAAACGGTCCACATGGCAGAGGTTCTAACATCCGTGCAGGCCTTTTCTACAGAGCACAGTGCCTTGATTCGCTCGCTACTAAGGTGAACTTTAAAAGCAGATAGGGCAGGCGACTTTGGATGATCATGTCAACCTGTGAAAGTTTCAAAACTATGGATACCAGATCTCTCCAGACTCACTCAGTGAATCAGAGTACCTAAAGACCTCCCCCATCCTTCATAAGAGCTCCTAGGAGACTGTACCATGAGGCCGGCCGCCTCGGGAAAACACTGTTCAAAGACACACGGCAAAACACCACTGAAGCTTGCATACCCAGAAGAAGCATGTTCCAGAGGTAAAATAATGAAAGAACGCTTTAATAGACTTACCTAAGTGAGTTCATCTCTGTTTTCTGATGAGAGGAGTCACCAGTCACATGGCTAAGTTTTTGAGCTTGGAGTTTTGATTTGTTCTCTAATGACTCCATTGTTTCTTTCATTATTAACATTTTAGATTGCAACTCGTATTTTTCATTTTCAAGCTACAATTTAAATTTAAAAAATTAATAAGTATATATGATAGTATCTTATTTTTCATAGCTACTCTTTCAAAATATTTCTGAAAGATAATTATGGAGCTGTATTAAGCAGTAACTGTCCTCTGTCCTCTGAGTACCGACATGTCAGCGTGGGGCATCTGTTTGCCCTTCCTCACTGTTACTACAATGAAAGAAAACATGTGAACAAAAATAAAAACATAAAATCCATAACAGCCATGACACAGGAAGCAAAACTACAAGCAGATGAAAAGTCAGAGGAACTTCCTAAAACTCACACAGAGCCCACAAAACCCTCCATGGTTCATTTCCAGCCTTTGAAACCAACAGATTCTCCCCCCAATGCCCCCCTCCTACCCCTACCCCCCAGAAAACCTCGAAACCTGCAGTAAATAGAAAAGAATTAAACAAAAATGGGAGGCGAAAGGAATGTAACCACAACACAGTCAGATCTATGGAGAAACAAAGTCAAAATTTTCCCGACCCCATGGAGCAAGACCTGACTTCATATAGATCACAGTGCTTCTCTGCACGGGAGCGTACGTATGCTAAGATTTCACTAAACTATAAATCTGTGAAATGCTGACTCTGCAGGTATGCTCCAGGGTACCAAACACCTCGTCCTTCCCTGCATCCCAGCAACATCACTTCCTAAGCCGCACACCGCTCAGTCTCGTTTGACAAGAGTAGAATCACGCCATGTGCTTCCTTCAGCAATGTCGTGTTTTGGTACAACCTGCATCTGTACCCGTCAGCCTCTGGTGTTAGTAACCTTCATGTATTTCTTCTCAATAGAAATTGTATTGATTCTATTGAGCAGATGTATGTTTGATGATCCACTGTATGACTGTATGATGACTGTATGATGACTGTATGACTGTATGACTGTATGATGATCACATATTGGCTCAAATAGTGTAGACTCTGTGGGACCTCTCCTCTGTCACCACCACTCCAGTGAAACACAACAGCAGATTCAGACACTACAGAAGCACGAACAAATGAGCCAGTCGTATCTTTACTAACCCAACTTACAGAGCAGGGAGTGCCTCTGGTCCATCTCACCTAGGAATCATAATGTGCTGACCTTTCATTTAGAACAACTATCCAGAAATGAACTACTGACAGCACGCAGTTGCTCTGACAATATCTGCTGTGGTTTGAAGTGACAATGTCCACGACAGACTGAGATGATAACCATGGTCACCATGGTTGGGGAGGTGGTGGACTCTAGGAAGCAGGACCTAGTAGAAGCAAGGACGTTGCTGGGGAGTGGCCTGACAGGACGCATCAAGGCCCCTGTCTCTTCTTATCCTCTCTCTCTGCTTTTTGGATGCCGTATAAGCAGCACCAGCCTACTGGCCCCTCTCCACCACAAAGTTCTGCTTTGCTTTAGAATCAAGCAATGGCAGCAGCTATGGACTGAACATTTGAAACCGTAAGCCCAAGGAAACCTTTCCTTAGGTTGCCTGACTCACAGAAATGAAAAGTGGCAAACACTGAAAACAAGCAAAAGAGATGTGGGCATTTGAGACTCCCCAGCCACAGAGCTCAGAAACCTTGGACTGGCTGTGGAAGGGATCTGAAGCCAAGGATGTTATAACACTGAGACGGTTAGGCAATTCCGATGGGAGAAGACCAGAATGCCAACAGGAATGTGGACAGCTAAACGCCAGGTTCGTAGGTCTCACATGGGAACAAAGACTCTGGAAAAGGACTAAAGGCCATTGTGTTACACTATGGCAAAACATGTGAGCTTTGTCCGTTCCCTGAGACTTGTGACTATGTCACAAACCTGAGATAAAAGGTGACAGACTGATTAACCTGGGGAGGGAAACTTTAAGGCAGTCAAGCATGCTGTGGCTTGGTTATTTCTGGCAGCCTTTAGCAAGGTTTATGGTGAGTACTGGGAGCGAATAGCAGAGCAGAGAGTTTGAAAAATGTGCAGTTCAGTCAGAAAATAAATGAAAGTGAGGTCAACAAAGGAATGGCTGCTGAAGAAACTAGCCACACTTTGTAACAGGCTAAGAAGCCAGAAGAGCCTTAGCAAGGATGTACTCTTCTCTGTTCAAGGGTATGAACAGGAGAACAAGTAGAAACCTCTATGAAAGGCTGGGCTTTGAGGAAGGAAGAGGGGCATCCCTACTCACAGTGTGGGAAATCTTTCCCAATGTTCAGTCACCCGAGAACTCAGCCCCTGCTGCAGCTATGGTGCAAGCAGGCCTGTCTACTGCTCAAACTGGCAGCAGACATTGTGTGATTCTCCTGCTTCAGCCTTGAGTAGCTATCTCTAGAATAATCTTAAAATGATTTCTAGTTATAGTCTACTTGAGGTAGGAAACAATTTCTTATTCTTTGTATCTTCATATATGTGGTCATTTGTCCAGGCAAGAATCACTAAATAATCATTCTTCACTCACTGATCTAGGTTTCTGTTTATATTAAGTTCCTTTTATGTGTGTTTCTTATATTTGGTTTCATTGGTCTTTATTTATTAGTCCTTATCTTAATTATAGTGGCCCTAAAACCCAGTATCATGTTCCTTAAACTTCTATATGACTTCTGGCTCTTTGTTTCTGCATAAATTCTGGAACTTCAGAGTAGACAACTGTAGAGAATATATACTCTCTAGTTAGTCTGAACGGCCGCATCTGTATTGAACGTACAGATGTTTTTCTTGTCATTATCTCCTAAACACAGTATAACAACTATTTATACGACATTTACATCATATAAGGTGTCATGAAATCATACAAAGTCCTGTAAGAAACCTAAATATGATTTAAAGGATAAGGGAGGATATATAGGTTATATTCAATATGATGCCATTTTTATACATAAACGTGAAGTTCTTCAGACTTAGGTATCTGAAGAAGTCCTGGGAGCAATCTCCTATAGCTACTGAGGGCTAATTATAAAGAAAATTCACAGCGAGTTTCACTTTTTAGTCTGTCCGTATTACATAGTTACTCTTCTAAGACCAAACCACAATGATCACAGCCACTACTGAAGCCATTCCAGGATTCTCTTACGTATGACCTGTGTGCTGGTTACCTATTACATTTTCACAGAAATCCCAAGAAACAGAAACACTCCTCCTATGTCAAAAATGAAAAGCTGAAAGACAAGAGCCAAGACCTGGGTCTAGACAGGAAGCCGGATTTGAACCACGTGACAAGCCTCAGAGCAGGCATGGCTCTTCCTCGAATACTAGTTTTCAAAAGCATACAGTATACCAAAAGCATAAAAACTGGCACGCTCACTCCCAAGCCCCAACCCTCTGATAGATTACCTGGTGATTAATGTACGTCAAATGTTCAATAGTCTTCTCTAACTCTGATTTTCCAACAGCATTCCTTTCTTGGATATTCTGAAAAAGAATTTTATAGAAAATGTTCATTTGAATTAAATACTCACCAGAGTAAGTAATGCAACTTTGCAGAGCTATGCTTCCTACTTCACAGAATCTACGGATGCTATAGAAAGGTCAGACATTTTATAAAAGCATTCTTTCAGCTGGAAAAGTTCTATTTCCTGTCTTCATGTGTCATACACAAGATAAAATGGGAGTGGACTCAATTATCAATGAGACTGAATTATCTTATGTAGACTGAACCTGGTTAACAGGCGTCATACAGAGAACAGCACGCCAAGTCACACGCTCACAGTGCACCCTCACACGAGGACAGCACGCCAAGTCACATGCTCACAGTGCACCCTCACACGAGGAGATGGAAGGACCCTCACACACCTCCCATTAACTGTCACAGTGCTGCTGACTGAACTGAGGGGCTCTACTGCTCTACTGCTGAGCTATAGCTCAGATGTAAGGAAAACAGGATACAGAGGAGAAATACATGACCAGACAGAGGCAACGGAAAAGTAGGAGTCTGGTTTTAAGAACCAGTTGGTCAGGATATAAATGAAGGCTCGTTTTCTCATTTATTAGCTCACTCAAGTCTCAACTGCTGCCAAGTCAAGGATGCATAATGTAATGGTCACTGAGTTTTTCTTGTAAAGGGTCACACTCATATTCATGTTATTCATTTTAAAACTGTATTTGATATTTAGAGTATAGTCTGGTTAAAGAGATGACTGCTATGTTAATTAAATCACTTAAATGGTGCTGATATATGCTCTAGACAAAGCACTAAGCAAGGTGTTAGGGCACAGTCATCAGTGAAGTCTCTGATGTCATATTTACATAAAGCCTCATAAAGACAGACCTAAAACAAGACTACAGTAAGCCATGAAGGCGGAAGGTCAGCAGTTCCAGGGTGAGCCTCAGTTATAAAGCATGGTTAAGTCAGCCTGGGCTACATGAGACCTTGTCTCAAGGACAGTCAGTACTGGAAAGTGCCCTGCAGGTTGCTGATGGAAGGACATCAAGAGTCGTGCTCAGCCAAGACCCCTGTGTGCTGCAATGTGCACCTAGGTAAGATGTACCACTGGTGTGACAGTACAACTGTTATGGGGTAATTGCTTTCTGATTAGATCTGAGGGCTGCTCCACAGAAGGGGACTGTCTGACACTGTAAGCCTGACCAAAGGCCCAAGACTGCTGAGGCCATAGTCTAGAAAGACTGCTGAGGCCGTGGTCTAGAAAGACTGCTGTGGTCTAGAAAGACTGCTGAGGCCGTAGTCTAGAAAGACTGCTGAGGCCGTGGTCTAGAAAGACTGCTGAGGCCGTAGTCTAGAGGGTAGAGCCTGTTACTGTTCTAATGTTCTAAATGACCATAATGTCAAAGTGCCTCCAATACTGATGTTTGTACCTGTAGACCTGGGCATAGTCAGAGAAACTTCTTCTTTGCAGTGAGCAGCAGTCAGTGGAGAGACACACAGCTGCCCAAGGGTTGCAGACAAGGGCCTCAAACTGAACACTGAGATCCCCAGCCTAGGATAAGGGAACATCACAGAAGGGGAGGCAGAGAGGATGTGGGGCTGGACAATGGGGAGGCTGCTGTGGTGGCATGGCCTTCACACTCAAGAATTCACAGCACCTCCCCAGGAGCAAGCCAGTCAGAATTCTTGCATAGATGGATGGGGTAGATGACCTCCAGGCCACACCATTTACTGAGAAGCTGGCAACTGACAGTTTGAGGAGAAAGAATCATTTTCTTTTAAGGATATGGTTGTTGACAGGATTCCTATGCTCCAGGGGATGGCCCCACAAAAAGAAACTAGAACGTGAAGGGAGCTGGGAGGGGTTAAGAGGAATACATACGATCCTATTTCATTGTATGCATGCACGAAACTCTCAAAAATATGGGAAAATAAATGAAGATAAGTGACTATTTTCCTAGACAAGGAGCTTTCTTTCTGTATGTCAAAAGGAATCTAGAGCCTGGCGCTCAATGCCCACCATTAAAGGACAAATGGGAGAAGGTCACTTGGAGAGGAGGAGACCTTTACAGTAGTCAGCAGAAGACTGCTGGCAAGAAAAATTCCTTAAGCAAGAAGCCTTGAGAAAAAGGAGAGAAATAGCAAAAATGAGCATAGGGAAAAGATGACCGACAGTGAAACAGGCCAGGGCTGATCACTAATGATCTTGTATCAGGTAATTAACTTTGTTAAGGCAATAAAAAGAGTCTACACTCAGGCCCAAAGGGTCCCACGGTGATGGTGCACGAGACAGTATACTGGCCACCACAGGCGGGGTCAGGAGACAGGAGTGAACAACTGGAAGGAAAGGAGGCCAAGGAGACTGAGTCGGCTGGGCGAGGCTGGACAAGCATTCACAATCGGTATGACTCAGGGTCTCATCAGTAAACAGAGACTATCAGAGAAGCCTTTCATGAAGATCTACTGTGGAGGTTGATCTCACACTTGGAAAGAACTCTCACGGGGCAGGGGTCGATACTGCCGTTCAGGAGGCAGTGCTGGCAGGCCGTGGCTGACAGCTGTGACTGAGCTTTCAGAGAGAGTTTAGTCATAACGGCTGCTTGAAAGCGGGGTAGCCAGGGGACTAACAGGAAACACTCCAGAAGGCTGAGGAGTCACATGACTAGTTCTGTTTTTTAAAGAAAAGGTCTCTTGGAAATTCACAAAGGACTGCCTCCTACAACCCAGAAGGGTTCTGATAATCTGAAGGCAGCTTTCCGAGTCGCTAGTACCAATGCCATTTTAAAATTCTATTTTCACATTTCTGGTCATTACAACAGATATGGAAAAGGGTAAGCAAGAAGCGTGTGCTCAAGGATGCCATATTGAGCAGAAGCTTTCTCTCTGGTAATTTTAACTTTTCTTTTTTTTTTTAATTTCTAGAAGGAAACATTCCAAAAGACTTCAATTAAAAACATTCACTGACTTTGGGTGTAAAACTTTAACTGAAAATTTGTAACACAAAGACTGTACTTAAAAGGCTTATTTTTGTTTGTAATTTTAGTGGCATTGATTTCATATTAACTTGAAGTAACCACGGCTTCTACAATAAGAAGACTTCACTCAGAAGTTAGCATGTGGGTGTACTATGAAATAATGCCTTAGTGTATTAACACACTTATTCGGGAACAACTGTAAAATTATTAAGAAATAATAATTTAAAAATTTAAGAATTTACCCAAGGAGAAATGAAAACATCACACAAATTCTCATATGTGCACTACTCACGGATGAACCTCAAGGATATCATGCCAAGAGCCACCAAACACTGAACATATGTGCGGGCTGGAGCCACCAAACACAGAACACATATGAGGGCTGGGGATGTAACTCAGCGGTAGGGTGATGGCTTTGTAAATGCAAGGCCCTAAGTTCAATCCCCAGCACATAAAAGGAAACTTTAATGATTTAGTTCAGAGAAGGCAGAAACTGAATTAGTGATGCCCACAGCTAAGGAGGCCAGGGGTGGGGGGAGCTATTACGATGGATACAAGGTTCCTTACTGTTGGGAGGAGATTTTCTAAGATAAATTATGGTGAAGATTATAAAAGACAGGGAGAAAAAGATAAATAAGTCCCTTTATTAAATAGGTAAATTGTATGCTAGGTGAAAAATATCCATTAAGTCATTAAGTGAAGAAGAAAAGGATGCCACTCTGGAACTTAAACAACCCCGAGTACAGGGTGTGGCTGTAAGGACCAATAAGAATGTCTTGGGTTTTGGAGTCCAAATGTGTCTTCTCAACTCTGCTACTGTAGTACAAAAACAGCTATGGACAACACTTTATCAGTGGTGGAGTATTCTTAGTGGCTACCACACTCAAAAACGGTAGTTCGGCCTAGGATGCCATGCTGCTATGCTGTGTAATGTTACCTGGGCTGTGCTGGGCTGGGCTGCACTGTGCTTTGCTAGGCTGTGCTTTGCTAGGCTGAGCCGTGCTAGGCCGTGCTAGGCCATGCTGTGCCGTGCTAGGCTGTGCTAGGCCGTGCTGTGCCGAGTTGTGCCGTGCTGTGCTGTGCTAGGCTGTGCTAGGCTGTGCTGTGCCGAGTTGTGCCGTGCTGTGCTGTGCTAGGCTGTGCTAGGCTGTGCTGTGCCGGGCTGTGCCGGGCTGTGCCGGGCTGTCCTGGGCTGTGCCAGGCTGTGCTGTGCTGTGCTGTGCTGTGCTGTGCTGTGCTGTGCTGTGCTGTGCTGTGCTGTGCTGTGCTGTGCTGTGCTGTGCTGTGCTGTGCTGTGCTGTGCCGGGCCGGGCCGGGCTGTGCTGTGCTGCGTTGTGCAGTAACTTCACAGGAAAGTGCAGTTATAAATGGAGCAGTGTGGGGGTGGGTCTAATGAGTGCAAGCTACTTTCACTTTTTCCCCAAATACTTAATAAATTACATTTCCGAAAGTTGTAAACTGTATTACTTACTTTCAACTTTTCTCTCAGAGCTTCCTTTTCTGCTGTAATTCTTCTTAAGTCAGATAATGTGCGTTCTTTCTCCTTTTCTATACAACTAACAACATGGTTGGGGACTGTCGAATTAGTGGACTCCTGTCTTAGTGCAGATAACTCTTCCTTTGCCTTAGAGAATTAAAAGATATAAAAATACTTAGGATATATTCCATTTTTTAAAAGGGGCTAGTGCAGGGATATATTAAATACAAGCTACTTTTCCTTCCTCCCCAAATCCCAGTACAACAAGAGCAACAGGATTAAAATTAAATACTAAACTCCCAGTGACAAGAAGATTGAGAGGCTGAGGCCACAACACACTGGGAACTAGAAGCAGCCAGCTAGAGAAGTAGCTAGGCAGAGTCAGGAGAGCTGGGAGCTAAGTTTACTGTGAGGAAACTCCAGAAGTGGATCCATTTAATTAACGCACTGCCAAGTCCTAGAAAAGCTCACAGAAGTAAAAATGTCTCTTTTAACTTACATGTCTTCCTCCTGTCAATATAGTAAGGCGCTTCATGGGAAGCGAGTGTGGAGCAAACCAGCTACAGACTCCAGGATCTGTTCGGCCAACTCACCCGCTGCTAAGTCAGGCTCTGTATCGGGGTCAGGCTGCCGCCCTCCCCAGAGCAGCTTTTCACCAGGAGCTAACCCTCAGAGTATGCGTACAGTACCATCTCCCACTCACTGGCTAGACTGGGCTAACAGGAGGCTCTGGAGATCCACTGGTCTTGACCCCACGAGTGCTAAGGTCACATGAGAGCCACCATTCGGGACTTGACCTCAGGCCCTCGGTGCTTGTGCAGCAGGGGCTTTAACTTGGAGGCTGGCAGACATGACTGCAAACAGGAGGTGCATGTCCACTGTATCTCTGGGATCCAGACAGGTGGCAGCATGTCTACATCCAAGGGCAATGTTGGCTCAGGGACAGCTAAAGTCTGTTCAGCTAATTTTAGAGAAACTGTGTCTAAATGACCTGACACTGATAAACTAGAAAAGAGGGAGAACAAACATGACAGAGGAGGAGAGAGAACTGTCTGCTTTGTGAACACGGTGACAGTCCCCACTGCAGGACCCGGGGGGTTCTGTTACAGAAGCTGTTTCTAATGCTCTGTTGGGTTAACCAGAAGCAGCATCTTACTTCCTTATACAGGACACTGAGTTTGTCCCTCTCTGCCGTCAGCAGTTTCACATTGGCCTGTATATCCTCCATGTATTTCTCGAATCGTTCTAGCATGCGCTGAAGCTCATCTCTTTCTCTTGTGATCAGGTGAATGTCTGAATTGTAGTCACCCTGAAACAATACATTACGAAGACAAACGTCATCATGTTATAAGTATGGCTGTGTGGTTGTCACAGCCATGCTGGTCAAAAGGTTAACAGAAGAACAGATGTTCTCTAAACGTAATTAGAGAGCTCCTGAGAGCATGCCATGAGAGCAGACGAAAGCACTGGCAGAAATGGTGCAGATTCTCTAGCTCTAGGTTCTCAGGAAGGGACACGGCTGCCAACAATACCACCTGTGCAGACCTCATTAGAAGCTTCCACAGCAGATGTCCTTAGCTGTTCCCATTACACATGACACCTACACTACAGACTCTAGACTAGATCGGCAGCACCCAGAAACTCGCTATATGCATGAAGTTGAGGGTCCGTGGTGGAATCTCTGGGAGCAGGGTATAGGACATTTTGTCTGACGCAGGGTAAGTTTTCACAGTCATTACTTTATATGACTCTCTGCCAAGGAGTGTCAGAGGTATGTATGTACCTGTTTTCTATGTCTTAAGGTCACTTCTCAGGTACAACAGTCCCAGTAGTCCCAGCGTCAACCCACATGAGGGCTACCTGTGCCATGGTCCAAGTACAAATGAGTGGGATGGTTCCTGACGGAGCAACTCCTTGCAACATCTTAAGGAATCTATCTACTATCACAGTATGAGTCTCAAGATCCAGTCTTCCCGCCACCATGAAAACCAGATGGCAAATTTACAGCATGTTAATGCCAATGAACTAGAAATATAAAAGATCTGATATACCATACTATCGCTAGACTAGTGTGGTTTGAGTAAGAATGGCCCCTGCAGGATTCTGTGTTTGAATACTTGGTCCCAAGTGAGTGGAACTGTTTGGGAAGAATTGGGAGGCGTGGCCTTGTTAGAAGAGAGGGCCACTTTGAAATTTCAAAAGTCTCCCTTTCCCAGCGTGCTCTCTGCCTCCTGCTTGTGGATGCAAAGGTGAACTCTCACCTGTTCCTGCTGCCACAACTTTGCTCTGCCATCACAGACTCTACCCCTCTGAAGCCATAAGCCTAATTAAACACTTTGTTTGAGTAAGTCACAGCAAGAGAAAAGTAACTCCAACTGGAAAGAGTCTTGGCTTATATTTGATATCCACTGAGCATGTATGATAACAGTAAATACTCAATAAATGCTAAAAAAGGTGTGAGGGGGTCTCCACTTAGGAAAATGCTATTCTTTTTAAAGCACAGTTAAAGCGTGATGGCATGATGGCTGTCATGGACACATTAAAGGTCAAGATGCTTTACACGACAAGAGCGGATCAGGATTTCAAGATAACTCAGGCTTAAAGTCATGGAGGAAAACCTGTGACCGCTTAAAACATCTTACTGAATGTAGTCTGCACAGATCCTAGCAGAGGAGTGCCATGAATGAAGAGTCTGTCCTCACTACTGTCTCCCCTTGGCTTTAATGTCAGGAATTAAATGAGTGAGTACATTAGAAGCATCATGCAGATTGAGGGGTATGTTACCATTGAGCCACAGCCCTCATGTAATTTAGATGTGTATAAAACTCCAAGTGTTCTGACTTGATCCTGTAGACTTTTTCATCGCCGCTTGATATCAATGAGAGCTTAAAGTTATTTAGCTGTCAGGGCTGTGGCTCAATGGTAACATACCCCTCAATCTGCATGATGCTTCTAATGTACTCACTCATTTAATTCCTGTGAGAGACACAGGAGGTGCCTGTTCCTGTCATTTTGTGTTCAGTACCTGGTACAGTACCAGAACGTTTCCTGGCAGGTCTGCTTGAGCAGGAATTCTATACTTCTCTGTAAATATATCTTATACGTAAAACTTATGTTCGTATTAGTATAGTATGCTAATTCACTCCCTTTCTCTATTCTATTATTCTCAACACACCGACAAGCAACATGCACAGTGCTCAAGCAAAACATCATGTCAAAAACCCCTTTTCTTCTTCTTTTGAAACAGGGTTTCACTATACAGCCCTGTCTGCCCTTGCTCTGCAGGCAGGGTGGCCTTGAATTTGTGGCAATCCTCTAGCCTCTCCCACAGTACTGGGATTACAGATGCAAGTCACCACAGTGGGCTAGGACCTAATCTCTACAGCACATGCCTCATTCACTGTAAGAAGGTGCAGCTATGTTCCTGGGCCTGCACATGAGGAGTTAAGGCTGCAGGGAGTCAGCTTCTCTAAGGTCTATCACACGCTGATGCAAGAAGCTGGGACCTGTGTCGGGTTTCCAATGCTAAAACCATGTGCTTGTGCTGACCATAGTGGTTGTAGTTAAACGGGAAACACTCCCAGCAAAGACAAGTGAAAGCGTGAACTCTTCCTTATCCATGAGGCTTCGATAATGAAGGTCACTAACGGTAAATGTGTCCCTTTTTTGATTTATTATAATTCCAAGAAACTGTGCCTAAGAGCTTCCTATAAAGCAGGAAGTTGACAGCCATAGCAAGCACCGAATCTAGTTTGAAAGCGGTCTTTGTTGTCTTCCAACAAAGTCCTTAAAATACCTACTTTTCTCTGGGCAATGTGCTCCCCAGATCTCCAGGGTCACAGTGGCCTCACACACTCATGTGACTCATGTGCTTACCACAGCTGGCCACTACGCCTGCAGCTTATTACTGGTGCTGTAAAACACTCTGAATGTCCTAACTTTTTGAACTATACAGAATGAATTCTATGCCAGATAACATAACACTTGAAAAGCACAGAGGAGTTGAAGAGGCAATGGTATCTCCTAACTGTTACCCTACCTCACCAATGTCTCCACTGCCTTCCCAGTGTGAACCAAGCAACTGAGTAAATACTTAGTGTCCACATGATTATCTACATAACACTATATGCCATTTACACATTTTGTGATTCTTCTGTACAATAAAAATGAACAATCCAGTGACTTATTTCTCCTGAGAAGTAAAAGCATAATTAAATGTAAATGAGCTTTGACTGCCTTTCTCAACAGCTCATTCTGTTTATAATAGATAGCATAGTGTTGATACTGACCAACAAACTGCAGCCATTAGCCAATGAGGCTAAAAGGCAAAGTCAACGCAAAAGGCATAGAACTATTAGACAACGGATCCGTGGTCCCCATGGAGAAGGTAACAGAATGAGTGAAGTTGAGCCAAATCTGAAATCAGATATTCTGAGCTAATGGCTGCCCCAGCTTCATTCCATTTTCCCTGATCTGTAGCGAATGCTACTGTCATAGAAACCTTTAGGACTTCTCTAGCTCCAAAGCGTTAAGATAAAAAGGAACGAGCAATCTAAATACAGTTGACAGTAGCAAGGCCCTGGTAATGATTAGGATTTGAATAGGAGCATGTGACTTTAACCTCTCAGGAATCATGTTCATTTACTAACCCCAGAGCGGCCGGTACAGTTAGGAAACACCACACAGATGTAGAGACAGAACTCAAGTGTCAGAACATGCACTGGACCCTGCTTTCAGTCCCCTGCTTCAAAAACAGACAACAAACAAAACAAGATAAAAGTCAACCCTGCTTACAAAACCCAGAAAGTAAACCAAGTAACATATACGTAGGTCACTTTTGTAAGACGGGTTCAGTGTGCAGCCCAGGCTGACTCTGACCTTCGGTCTTTGTGCACAGCCATACGTGTGCTTGATTACTGTCTTGTTCAGTCTTCCAAATGAACATTTTTAACCAACTTGTTACAGTAGGCTAACAGAATAATCCACTTAGCGTGCACTTCTGATGTGTACCCCCAACCCCTGCAAAAAAGGGTCTAGAAAAGACTTGATAAGTTGAAAGTGATGATGCTCCTGACTCAACCAACAAAGTTGGGAATGACACAAAGGCTTGTTGTGTGCCATGAGGACAGAGGGACTCCGTTAGCAGAGGCAAATTGCAATGTTCCACAACATAAATCCTGGGGAGAGCAGAAACGTACGTGTTGTGAGTCTCTGAGTCCTAGTTTCTGAAAGCTGACATGCCTCTCACAGGGCTCAGCTATTCAACCTAAATTTACAAGAATCAAAATGTTATCCTTTATTGTTGGGTACTTTTCCTTGTAAAGCAGGGGCCCCACATTGCAAGTTATAGAATAAAACAAAAGTCAAAATTAAGACATTTTAAAGCATGTGTTAATGACATTTCATTTAACACACACACACACACACACACACACACACACCCTTTTGATTACTCTTATAGAAGGTCTTACCCTTTCTGAGCATTTGACTACAGGAGATTTTTCCCGAGGACAGTAATTAACAGAACAGGATCTTCGCTGGATGAGATGCTGCAGTTTCTCCAGCTCTTTCTTGTAATAATCGCGCTCTTCCTCTATGCCTTTCAGAAATGTGTCTAGACGAGAGGGTGACTTGTCTCGACGTTTTATCCCATGTTCTAGCCTCATCCTCTCAAGCTCCAAAGTCAGTTCTCTTTCTGCAGATTACAGTGTTAGCCTTAGGAATGCTGCATATATAACGTGGACCAGTCAGGTAAATCAGTGTCAGCCTTAGTAACTAACGCTGCATATGTAACGTGGACTAGTCAAGTAAATGACAGTGGTTAGCCTTAGAAACGCTGCATATACAATGTGGACTAGTCATGTAAATAAATAATCTACAGAGTGAAAACCACGAGCAATCACGAGCTGCTCTTGTGTCAACCACAGGATCTGACATATTGGGCAAATACTGACAAAGAATGAGAAGAAAATACAAGAAAAACATTAACATTAGCTAATGTCCAACAAGTGAATGTCACCCTCTGTTGGTATTGTCACAGGTGGATACTATTTAGTTCTATAAAAATAAACAACGCATTTCTCTAAGGGGGGTGAGGCTTCTAGAGACCCTAAAGTAGCTCTGAGAGGAAACGACGCCTGTCAGCAAGCATGAAGCAAGCGTACTTCACTGACCTACAATTTAACACTTGCACAAAGAAATCAAAATAACTCACAGTTTTCTTCCAATAAACACAACTATTATTTTTTGCTGCTGTTATTTTTCAGACAGGATGCCACTACACTGTAAAGACTGACACAAAGTCCCAGGTTCAAACAGGCCTTGCGCCTGTCAAATGCCTGGGACTGTAAGAGTGCACCACTGTATCCAGTCTACCTTACAAGTTACTTTTCCATGATCTAAAACAAAGCAAATACTAGCAATTTCACAGAGTTCAGCCTAGTGGAACAGACACACAGTCTCTGACTTAAGAGCTCAAGGGGAGGCCCCAAGGCCTGACACTGTTACTGATGCTATGGTATGCTTACAGACAGGAGTCTAGCATGGCTGTCCTCCGAGAAGCCCAACAAGCAGCTGAAAGAGTCAGATGCAGATGCAGATATTTACACCCAACCAGGGGACAAAAGCCAGGGATCCCTGTGGATGAATTAGGGAAAAGCTGGAAGAAGCTGAGGAGGAGGGCGATCCCATAGGAAGACCAGCAGTCTCAATTAACCTGGATCCCCAAGACCTCTCAGACACTGAGCCACCAACCAGGCCGAATACACCAGCTGATATGAGACCCCCAACACACATGCAGCAGAGGACTGCCTGGTCTGGGATCAGTGAGAGATGATTCACCTAACCCTCAAGAGACTTGAGGCCTCAGAGAGTGGGGAAGTCTGGTGGGGTGGGGGTCTGGAGTCTGGGGATGGGGACATCCTCTTAGAGACAAGGGTCTCAGGGACTGTGGGAGGGAGATATGAGATGAGGAACAGTCAGAGGGTGGACCAGGAGGGGGATAAAGACTGGACTGTAAAAAAAGATGAAAGAATAATAAAGAAAGCAACCTAGTGATCTATCTGATGCACTGCCGTCTTCCTCTTCATCTCTTCACACTCCACTGGATGGGACTGGCTAACAATCCCAGACGTTAGAAAACTCATCAACTGACCATTTCACGCCGAGAAGAAATGGCCAGGGAGGGCGGAGAAAGTAGGAAAGTGGCAAGGAATGGGCAACTGTGGTTATCTTAGGAAGTAAAGGCTACCGAGTGAGGACCACTCACTGCATCAGTGAGGGAGCGGGTGGAAGAGCCGTTCTGCTGCTGAAGGGAGGGCAGAAGCCTCCTGGGATGGATGAATGAGGAACTACGGGGTAGCAGGTGATCAAACAGGGACACTGAGGGCAGATCTTAAGGCAATATAACAGGATTCCATAAAAAGACTCCGAACTTCAACTTTCTGCCATTTCAGAATGGTCTTCTCAGTCTGTCTCAAAGGAGCATACACTTCCATTGCAAAACACTCAAGAAGCCTCTCCTATACCAGCCGGTCAAAGAACGGGGGAGGGGTTCCTCTACGTCCGTCCACACTGCCGAGCAGTGTCTCTGCTTCACAGCCGGAGCTGTGAATGCATGCACAAACACTCACCTACTTATAAAACAGCATCTTACCTGTGATGGCAAAACTTTGCAGCTTCTTGTTAAGTCTTTGCTTTTCTTGTTCAAGTTGATGAACAACAGTCTCCAGGTCTGACTTTAAAAGTAGTTCACTGTTCAGTCTCTCCTTCTCCTGATGGCTGACGTCTAACTCCTGCAAAATGTTAACCGCTGTAGCAATTACAGGTAAAATGGATACTTTTATAAGCATATATACATATATATATAAATATATATATATATACACACACATACATATAGCAGTATATATATGATATATATACATATATATACATATACATATATATATATAAAACAGTATATTCATGTGTGTGCACGTGTGTGCACATGTGTGCATATACTTTTAGTGACAAATGTCCAAACAAGAACAGCTCTCTCTCGAGGACCCACAGCTGCCACTCTGTGCTGGAACTCAGATCACTGCCAGTGTTAGCCCTTAGCAGGGAAGCTTCTCATAGCTGACGGGAACTAACACCGAGACCCGTAAGTGGACAATGTGTGGAGAGTGAGTGACCTGAGTACTCAGTTCTAAACAGGATGTTTATCAAACCTGCCCTGAAGGATCTGTGTGGTAGAGTATCTGGAAAGAGTGTAAGAGCCAGAGAGGTGGATGACTCCAGGGAAACAGTGACTTCCAGACACAACAGGACTGATGCACTCCCAGAGTCTGTGGCAGGATGCATGGGGCTTGTACAGGTTCAAGGCAGTCAGAGCGGCAGCAGAGAAGGGGAAGTGGTCAGTCTCCCACCCCTAGCCAAGAAGCTGTCTGCATCTGACATCTGCTGGGAAAGGGAAATCAGTTTTCCACAACGGAGTGGCATTCTGTATATTAACCACGCCCCAGGGCAGGCCCCAGGCCCAGGAGAAGTCAGCCAGCACTAAACGGACTCCATGGTTTTTGAGGGTGCTTGCTTTTTGTTTTGGTATTTTTTTGTCTTACTGTATTTTGTTTGCTTTTACTTTTGCTTTTGTTTTTTTTTTTTTTTGAGAGGAGGTGGGATATAGAAACTGGGTAGGTAGGGAGAATCTGTGAGGAGCTAGCAGGGAAAAAATATGATCAAAATACATTGCATGTAAAAAAACTTAAAAGTAAACAAATAAATAAAGAAAAAGAACCCAAACATACCATGAAACCCAGATGTTAACAGACGCTCTCCTGTGGAAAGTGGAACCCTTACATTTTGTAACTCATTTATCCTATTTCTCTCTAAACGAGTACGCATAACATCATTTACGACTGCCCATGTTTAACGAGGGCAGCAGAACAGCCCAGGGACACGGTCACTGTTTCTTCCACGGCAAGTGCTTAGTGAGCATTAGCTATCAGTATGATTGTTATCTCAGAAATGCATACAATACAGAAATACTAACAGGAAATATAAGAAACTCCTGAAAGTGAGTGTCTGCCAACACTACTGGAAACGGACCACGGATCTGAGACGAGCCCTGTCAATCATCCTCAGCACTCACAATAAGCATACAATAGTGAACAGCGGCAAGCCCTCTTGCACACAGAGGTCACAAGACTCAAGAGTGAGCTTCCTCAGCGGGCTTAGTTACCATAGCTACTCAATGCCAGAGTCAAGACTTGCTGAGCTCAACTTAAAAAGAAGCCACTATCACTGGACAGTGGTCGCATATATATGTCTTTAATCTCAGCACTCGAGAGGCAGAGGCAGGTGGATCTCTGTGAGTTTGAGACCAGCCTGGTTTACAAATGGAATTCCAAGACTGCCAGGACTGTTACACAGAGAAATCCTGTCTCAGAAAGAAAGGAAGGAAGAAAGGAAGAAAAGGAGGAAGAGGGAAGGAAGGTGGAAGGAGAGAAAGAAGGAAAGGAACGAAGAAAGAAAGAAGCCACTATCATGTGCTGTTCATACTAAGTGTACAAAAATCTACAAATAGTGAATACACACTACCATCCCATAGAAATGCATGTATCCCAAATGCAGCAGCATAGACCATACATAATGAAGAGATGCAAGCCAGTGTTGGTCTCTGCTTCTAGTCTGACAGGAAATCCTTCTGACATAGGAGGCTATCTCACTGAAGAGAACCCCCCTGACCCAGGATAACCACCCGTTTTAACTTGTAAGGCATTCTGCTAATTCCATGCAGTCTCTGAATTAAGGGGTTTCTTGGCATGAAACCTGGCTTTCTCCCTAAAAGGCCACAGGGACAAGAACTGTGACTAGGAAAATCACTTCAATAACACCAAACAAAGCAATTACAAGGAATATTTTTATAACAATCAAGAAATACATAACTACCAGTTATGATGTTATTGTAGTAACCAGAGAAGCTATAGAGTAGTTAGAGGAATACAGAATTGCTACAGCCTCTCAAATTCTCAGTTCTACCTACAAACCTGTGCTGTGAACAGTTAGAGAATGGTGACAGTATGGAATTGCACACTCATACTGTGTATGAACAGTTAGAGAATGGTGACAGTATGGAATTGCACACTCATACTGTGTATGAACAGTTAGAGAATGGTGACAGTATGGAATTGCACACTCATACTGTGTATGAACAGTTAGAGGATGATAACAGTATGGAATTGCACACTCATACTGTGGACCATTTATACCCAGCTGTGGAAAGGAATGGAGCTCTCATCCATGCTGCAAACTCACAAACCACGAAAACATCCCAAACCAAAGAACCCTGCTGCAAAAGGATGTAGGATTCATCATTCACTTACACCAAATGGTCAGGAGAACTCTAGGCCCGGACGGTAGGTGAGTGGCTGTCAGGGGCTAAGCAAAAGGTCATGGGTATGAGGTTTCTTTCCAGAGTGATGGACGTTCTGGGATTGGCAGTGATGGTTGTACAGTTCTGTGACTGTGGTAAAACCATACACTCCACTAAAATGACTGAATATTATCCATACACATTGTATCTCAATAGACCTATGAAACCAGGTATCAAGTCAGGGAGGAGAACACTGGCAAGTGTGCCATCAACTTACCCATTGCAGTTTTGACATTTTTTCCTCAAGGTTCCGCATTTCACTGAGGTTTCTTTTAATCTCTTTCTAGGAATAAAAAGCCTATTAGGTAAGGATCTAAGACTCTAAGACTATCCATCACTATGGCATCCTGATTGAGAGCAGCTGGTTTGCACTCTCTCTATCCATAAGGTCTGGGACTTGAATCTAATACTCAGCCCCACTGCACAGAGAATAGAGCTGAGATGAAGCATCTGTTTAATACTGTGGTGTCCTCAGTGCTTGTGTGAACTCACTTATAAAGTAAAGAACCATTTCGCCCTTCTTGGTCCTCAGCGTTGGGGAATCATGGTAGTCAATTCCTAACCATGCTCTCTCCTGCTCTCAGCCTGCTTTAACCAACCTGGATTGCTCATACTACAAACAACCGAGAGAGCAGAAAGCCAGTGAAATACTGGATCTAAGAGCAATCTTTTGTTGCTTCAAGTTGACATCTGTGGGCCTGGTCAACAGGCCATGAGGCACCATTGTTCAGTGACTTGCATGTGAAAGCACAGAAGATACAGAAAGGAGTAGAGAGAGAGTGTGTGGAAAGAGACAGAGGTGCATTGCAATACACTAAAACCAGAAAGGCAGAACCAAAACTATATGAATGAGGTATATACTCCACCCGCCACAGCCCAGTTCCAAAGATCAAACCTAAGGCCTCAAGCGTGTGAGGCGAGCACTCTACAAACTGGGGAACATCCCTAATCCATGTCTCCTTCCAAGACTGTTTGGCTGTCTCTTGAGAGTCCGTATATAATTTGGGACTATTTTCTGCACAGCATTCTGATAGGATCTGAGTTGAACTGTGTTACAAGAGTGTGTTACAGACTGTGTTACAACACAGGTCTCCTAAACCACACTCACAAGAACACAGGATGCCTTTCCACTTGCACGCCCTTCAGTTGTCACCAGTGTTCTGTCGTATCTTAAGTTTCTATTTCACTAGTTAACTTCATTCTTTCTGATGTAGTTACAAATGAGATTCACTAATTTCTTTGTTGGATTTTTTTTTATACTTAGTATACAGAATTGCATCTGGTGTGTGTCTGTCTGTGTGTGTGTGTGTGTTTTAACATGCAATTTTGTTAACTCATTTATTCTATTTCATTGTGTACAAATCTTTGGATTTTCCACAATTAAGATCATGTTACATGTGATCAAAGAATTGTTGCTCTTCTATTCTGTTTTACTGTTTGTGTCTAACTGCTGAAGACTTCCAGTATTGTGTTCTAATTTAGCTTAACTTTATTAAGATATGTTTCAGAGTGTCCCAGGCTAGCCTAAAGCACAGTCTTCCTGCTTCAGTCCCCACAGATGCTGGGATTTCTAGGCATGTGACACAACTTCTAGCTCAGTATGATGCTAAACAAAAATAATAAACATATCCTAGACTAGCTCCTGACTCTAAAGGATTTTAGTCTTTCAACACTGAGTGTGTTTGCTGTGGGTTTTTTATTAGTAGCTGTATTATGTTGATATAGTTTCCTTCTCTTTCACTAACTATGGAGTTAACACTGCCTAATACAAATGCAGTGATGCAGACAGTGGGCTCCACACTGGAATCGCCCTATGCTTGGCAGAAAGAGATCCTAAGCATGATACCAAGCTACTGGCACAATCAGCTTTGTTGTGAACTGTGGTGCTGAGAGGGAGCCCGGGCGCATGGACACATGAAGAACTGTTCCACCATTGAGCCTGATCTGCCCTGCTCTCAAAGACTGGCATCTAGTTACTTAGCTTACACAGAGTGCTCCTGGAGACCTGCTCAAGACCCTGCTTGTGGTCTGGTCTAGCCATGTGTGAGCTCTTCACTCTTACTCTCCCTTCCTAACTGCTGCTAGCACTCTGCTTCAAAGATACCTCCTTCATGTTTTAAAAGCACACTATTTCAAGACTTACAACCAAAACCCTTTGAAGCATCAGATACACAGATCATTTAAGGCTAGGCTGGAACTGGCTGAAGGCTTTACCTTTCTTCCATTACATCTCATTGGGATGTAGTTCAAATATAAATTTACCTTTAAAATACTTATTAGCACTGTGAACTATCTGTCACGTTGACCTAGTGATTACTAACAATGGTAATGATGATGAGTATTATGTCACTTTGAACCTTCAAAGACAATAAAAGAAATTTAATTCCTCCATGTTTTTATTCTAGGACAGTATGATAGACTGATTATAAAAAGGGTATCAAGTATAAAATGTTAAAATGGGGAACAATTTTTTGCAAGATTTTCAAGGAGAAAAGGTCATTCGGACTCACTGTTATATTTAAATAACAGCAAAACTTGCTTTTAGAGATTAATATTATAATTAGGAAATTTCACCCTACGCATCTTTTTTAGCAGAAAGATAAAGAATGGTAGTTATCAACTATCAAATATACAAGAAAAATGTTTCTAAGATGCCTTTAGGAAGCTGGAGAGATGGCTCAGATGATAAAATGCAAACTGCACAGGCTTAATGACCAGAGTTCGGATCCTGGGAAGCCCTGGCCGGGAAGCCTGACTGGGCGATCACCTGTAATCCCGGCACTACAGAGTCTGAGATGGGATCCACAGGGCAAGCCCACAGGCTAGCCAAGCTTAATCCGTGACTGCTGAATTTGGGAACAGAACCAGCCCTGATAAGTAAATAGTGACTGAGGCTGACATCCAATGTCAGCTTCAGGCCTCCACACACATGCTCACAGGTTGGCATGTTCACCAATGCATATATGTAATCCTACACACATGAATACACATACACGCACAGATGCATATGCACATGATATAAACACATACACACATGTAAAAATAATCTTTCGAGGATTCTTGAGTAAAATCTGACAAGAGAACAGACTTCAGAGATAGAAGGACAGGGGTGAAAACTATAGAGGAAATCAGGACAGAGTCTAGATATATTTATTCTATGGACAGGCAAGCATCAGGAGAACTAAACCAGCTGGAACACAGGCAGTCTCTTAGAGGGTGGAAATGATGCTGAAGAAAACCTTGGATTATCGGGGGTGAGGGACTGGGGTAGGACTCAGCTCTTAAGAGCACTGGCTGTTCTTCTAGAGGTTCTGAGTTCAATTCCCAGCAACCAGAGTGACTCTCATCCATGTATAATAGAATCTGATGTCCTCTACTGGCATGCAGGGTATACATACATAAAATATAAATAAAATTAAAAAAAAAGCCAGGTGTGGTGGTGCATGCCTTTAATCCCAGAGGCAGAAGCAGGCATACCTCTGAGTTCAGTGAAAGTTCCAGGACTGTCTCAAAAAAACATAAAACAAAACAAAACAAAAACAAAAAACACAAAGCAAAAAAACAACCAAACCAAAACCTTAAAGTATTAAAGGCCAAAATGGACTCCCACTGAGAGAACCCCCAAAGCTGAGCAGGGCTCTCCAGAGTCCAGCCCCCCACCCGCTTTGCGCTCAGCCGTGCTGAGGTCACAGCCCAGGCCCAGCGTCACCTTCGCCTCCCCGAGCTCCTTGTCTGCTGTCTCCAGCACTTGCTCCTTGTGCCTTTCCAGCTGCTGGGCTAACTGGTCGATCTCGGTTAGCTCCTGGCAGAGCTTCTCGTTTCTGCTGCTGAGGTTCACAACTTCAGTTGTCACGGTCTCCTTGGTTGCCACGAGCTCTTGGATATGCTTCTCCAGTTCTTTGTTAGCTTGCTGCAGGAAGTCAACCTAAATCCAATTTATAATCATAGTGAATAAATATATATAAATTTAAAAAACTATCCAAAATTCTGAATTTTCAAAGTAGAAGTTCTAAACACTATATTTTAAAAGGTACTAAAGTTAAACCCAGTTATTTTTGTATGTGTAACCCTAAATACTATTTTTTTTCCAAAGCTCACAATGTGGCTTTAATAGAAATATATGTCCTTGCTTTTATCTGAGGATGAAAAGGTAGATGGTGAGGACTGAACTCGGGTTTTGCATGTTACACAGCATTTTATTACAAAGCTACACGCTTACCACATTAATAGATTACACATTAACATGATATAAAATATGTATGTAAAGTATGAAAGAGATATAGAGCATATAATATAGCCAGTACATATAATTTATGACATATAGTATATATAAGTGTATATATA